TTTTCTGAATAAATTTAATAGACTTTGAAAAGTTTAATATAATAATAAAAACAAGAATATTGAATTATGATTTGAAAAGATAAATAAAATCGAAACTAAATGTATTCAAGATAATACAATCAACATAAACATAAACTACCATTACAAACAATCAACAAGACCTAATTTACTTAAGCAAGACGGGTTACTGATTCTCAACTCATAAGCCACAGGTTTAATTGTCAGTTCAGGTTGATTGCGTCGTCGGGAAGGGGGGAGGCAGGGAAGGAGATGGGGGAGGGAAGGGAGGATGGCTTACTCTATTATGGTGTTCGCTGAGGATGGTGTTCGCTGAGCTTGGTGTTCGCTGAGGATGGTGTTCGCTGAGCTTGGTGTTCGCTGAGCTTGGTGTTCGCTGAGGATGGTGTTCGCTGAGGATGGTGTTCTGTAGTCCCTTCCAGCCACCGTCTTGCCCTGGTTATCGTTCACTAAATTGTGGGAAAAAATTAAAAGTGGATGGTTGGTTAGGTTAAGTGGATGGTTGGTTTGTGGAATAATAATGTTTATGAGTAAATCACAGGGTATAGGGGAATGTGTGGATGTTGTGGTGGTGTGGATGTTGTGGCGGTGGTGTGGATGTTGGGTGTGGTGGTGTTGTGGTGGTGTGGTGGTGGTGTGGATATTGTGGCGGTGGTGTGGATGTTGTGGTGGTGTGGCGGTAGTGTAGATGTTTGTGTGGGTGTGGCGGTGGTGTGAATGTTGTCTTATGTGGGTGTGGCGGTAGTGTGGATGTTGTGTGGCGGTGGTGTTGTGATGATGTTCTAATTATATGTATATCAACATCACCGAGGCATCACATAATGTGTCGGAAGTATGACACATTCACCGAGACATCACATGGTGTTGGATTAACCACACACACACCCTCACTGGTGGTGTTATTTCTTGCTGGTTACCCACAAGGAGTGTACCTAACACCTACTGCTACATTCTACACCTCTCACCATTCCCACACCCAGTGTACAGTTACCTACACTCCGAGTATCCTTACACTCTTCTTTCATTTTACTGTAGGTTCATCGCCACTTTTCAATCGGTCCGGTGGTCAGTCTGTTTCTGCTGCACATTACTGCCAAGTACTGGTCATGTATTGGCTCTGTTACACACTGTTGGAGAGTTACACACTGTTGGCAAGTACTGGTCATGTACTGGCTCTGTTACACACACTGTTGGCAAGTACAGGTCATGTACTGACTCTGTTACACACTGTTAGAGAGTTACACACTGTTGGCAAGTACTGGTCATGTACTGGTTCTCTGTTACACACTGTTGGCAAGTACTGGTCATGTACTGGTTCTCTGTTACACACTGTTGGCAAGTACTGGGAATGTACGGACTCTTGAATGTACCTGAATATGGTGTTGGTCAGTTCAGTTCTGGTCTTACATGGGCTAACACTTGGCAAATTATTCTAAGAGCTCACAACTCTTATTCCAAAGAATTTAGGTTTGGTTAGGTTAGGTTTGGCTAGGCTAGGTTAGGTTAGGTTAGCACTGACACTTTTTCTGTATAGAGTGCCGCTTTGTGGCTATAACTTCTAGTGAGGCTGCCAATCAACCGCTAACTCCAAATATGTACATTTGATTGAAGAATATCCCCCAGGTGCTCATAATCTTCTGCTAAATAGCCCCTTGTCTTTCTGCATTGCAATATAGACTGTAGTAAACGTTTTGGTCGTCTTTTGTGAGGTGAGTGAGTGTCGGCAACAACTTATGTGTGTTTGGTATATTCTGTTGACTAAGCACTACACTTAAACCTACTTACAGACCGATCATATAAGTCTTTACACAATTTTCGTATTAATTCTACCGGTTTGATAGCAAGATTCGTTTGCTGCTCACAACAATCCCCGAACTATTTGTAGGAATAAACATCTAGATACATCTCAGGTTTATTCCAGTTTAAAAAATTATCTTCTTTAACTTAGGACATGTACAGCAGTGCCAGTATGCTGCCTTACTATTAGCACAACCATGGTTCATCTTCCTGCGGTTCACATCATTAACTCATCACCATTCCTTGTGACCATTCCTGAGTCCGAGAGAGATCACCCAGTTATACTTCACGGTCTGTTAGATTTTCACTTTCTTTGAATAACATGACAACATCAGAAAACATTTGCTTGGAAGTGAATATCATATGGCATATTATTCATGAAACATACAAACAACATCAGTTCCAGCACACTGCCTTGCCGCACACCGCTTGTCACGGGTACACCCACCGATTTCGTGCTTATTTCCAGTCATTGTTGTTCTTTTGTTCTTGCATATTTCTGAGTGTTTGTTATACATTTCTCTTAATACTCCAGGATGTAAACTATATTTTTGAACCTTGAACTTAGATAATTTACTTTTGATACACTATTCTGAGAGCTCTGTATATAATATACTTCAGTAATGTGCAGTGACTCAAAAAGCTATCTGCCCTTGGGATGAGCGATGAATTCCAGAATGAACACTGCGACTCCTGTTGTCACGGTAATGTTGCCAAAATCCTTCGTCCGTTGTGTCATATTTTCTCAACACAATTGTGTATAGATAGTTTGTGAGTGACTGTTTACCGACCTGCTCTTCCTCAAAAGCTGGTTACTCATTTTTGTATTTATCGCTAGACTCGCGCTCAAATGTAGCTAACATATCGCTAAACTTATAGATAAAAAATTAAATCACCCAAGTGTAAAAAATCATTTTATTAATTACTGTATAAGGAAATAAAATTATCCCACAGAACCGTATTGACACCGAGTACTTTAAGCAAGAATAAGTAAAGCAAAGATAATTAAATATGAAAAGATATATCATTTAAAACACTTACATATCCCAGCCTACTTCTTCCTCCTTCTCATGTTACTTTTTCTCGTCGACTCCCTGATGGACTTTTCTGATCACACTTCGTAAACAACTCTTCCCGCTGTGTCACAATCCATAGTTTATGACCAAGATGGCATTCTTTTTTGGTGACATCCATTTTGTTGTGCAGTGTATTATTGTAGTTATCTCTGCCCAAACACGTAATGTAATGTATCCGAATTTTCTGTTTACTTAACCTATCCTAACGGCGGGAAGGAGTGTACAGTTTAATATCAGCCGTTGGTTCTTCGCTGCGTCATTATCCCTGATGTAATTTGTTTATTTTATGTGTTAACGACAGAAATTCCTTTATTGCTAGACTGCACAAAAATCACCTAATTAACTCCCATGTTGTTAACTATTGTTTTTATTTGAGTTAATTAACATACAGGGTGTCCATAAATGATTACCCTGATTATCGCATGGTCTACCACTGTGTTTAGGGTATTCATTTATAGACACCCTGTACTGTCCTGTAAACACCGAGGAAAATAATTCATTTGACGCCTTCACTTTGTCCTGGTCTGAATCTACATAACTTTCTTCGTGTCTCCGATCTGATACACTCACACTTGTCCTTAATTCACATCTTACAGAACGATAGTCTTGACTGGTGCCTTATTCACGACCCACCTTTCAAACTCTCCTTCCCTTTTCTACACTCTACAATTAAAGTTCTTCTGTAATTCCTTTGTTATGAAATTCTTGTATAACTTAGATTTTCAGAACGATGTAACTACTCTTATCAAACTACCTCATTCGGCTACCAGGAACTACAAGTCAGGAGCTCGGTTATCCCTCGCTAGGTTCCTCACAGTCACTACCCACATCAACTGTACCAGCCAAGACGATACACTTTGGCTACAGCTCTTGTATGTACTGTACCACCGCTACCCACACCCCTTCCCACCTCACTCAAGTCTTCGTGTGGCTGACGTCCAAACAAACGCTCTCTCATTTCTGATAACTGTACATTAGACCATAAACTTTTGCTATTTCTATTCCATCATTACGCATATACACCTGTAACTATTGGTGACGTATGGTAACACTGCTGGGGGTTATACAGCTTGTGGCTTGTTTATTGTGAATTTTCAGTGACGATACTGTATTCTGTAACGATATACCTCACTGTAATTGTACTACAGGTGTGTGTGTGTGTGTGTGAAATACAAGATGGACCTTGTAGGTAGGTTACACATTTTTGTATTCTGTCAGATATTGGAGCTGCCCTTCATTGTATCACTTCCTTAACAAAAGGTTTTAATGTTGTTTAGGTTTTGTTGAATTACTGCAGCACACTTCCGGTAGTTAATGTTTAATAATTGTGAACTGTAAAATACACTCTCGATCTGTCCACAAGAGAAAACATCCATTTTAAGTAAGTTCTCTGTACAAGGAGGCGAATTGCACCGACGATCACCTCCCTTCCATCACAACTGCAGTGTTTCATCCTGTTAGTTACAACACAGTGAGGGAGGAACGTGTGGGAGCCTCGTCTTGTAGTGATCACAGTCGTGCTCTGTTCAGTACCGAGGGCTCTTCTTCCTTTAACCCTCTTAAATGTTCCTTCACTGTAGATTATATCATCTTGTGGTCCGTCACTCTCTGGGGTCATTTCCATAAAGTTCTTCCTCTTGACTCGCCGCTAAAGGCCAGAGTTTGTTATTGATGAGTTTTTCCACCTACCATGGGATTCAGTTCCTGTTTCTTGAATGATTTTCCTCAATGACCTTCTCGGGTTTGTTTCAGTTTTTTCTGGAGGTACAAGATCAAGCTGTCATGTGTAGAGATGCAAGGCTGACCACTCTGCCAGCCTTGTCGATCACACTTCCTGTTTCAATTATTTTACTCTTTGTGGGATTATTCGTTACCCTGACATAGACTCATCTGAAATAATCTTCATGTAATATTTCAAATTCTTCTTTAACCAAAAACATGTAAATCTTTCTTTGTGGTGTCTAATTTCTTAATATATTTACATAAATTTGATGAAATATTGTGAAAAAATGCCTCTTAGTCTGTTTTTTTTGGCATCATGTAAATATTAGATGAAGTGAATCACAGATCCAAGAGGAGTTAAGTGATGGTGTTTTGTTTTGTCCTCAGGACACGGAGGATAGAGGAGCAGACGACCAATTGGAAGGCATATATATATCCACGCACTACCACCCTCACCACCCACTACCACTGCCACCCTTCCTAGCACCACCACCCACTACCACTGCCACCCTTCCTAGCACCACCACCCACTACCACTGCCACCCTTCCTAGCACCACCACCCACTACCACTGCCACCCTTCCTAGCACCACCACCCACTACCACACCACCCACTACCTGCCACCCTTCCTAGCACCACCACCACCCACTACCCTTCCCTAGCACCACCACCACTCACTACCTGCCACCCCCTAGCACCACCACCACCACTACCACTGCCACCCTTCCAGCACTACCACCACCCTCACCTCCCCTTCCTAGCACCATTACCACTCACTACCACTGCCACCATTCCTAGCACCACTACCACCCACTACCACTGCCACCCTTCCAGCACCACCACCACCCTCACCAGCCACCCAGCCACTACACCTGAAGCTTCTACCTCACCGCTGTAGTATTGTGGCCACCTCCTACAATGCCATTTACACTTCTGCCACCAGTGGTTGTTCCGCTACAAGTGCAACTAGATCTACCGGTACGGCTATCTCCACTACCATGGCTACATCTACTACTACAACCACAGTCACAGCCACAACAACTACAGTGAGCAAGGAAGCTACTCTCGCCTCCACTACCACAGCAACAACAACCACAGTTAACAAGAAGGCTACTGTCACTTCCCCAATGATAAACTGCAGCTCTACCACTACTACCATCCCTCGCCTTGCCTTACCTCCCTCTGCCACCACAACACCATCCTCCTTCAACACCACTACAACAATCTCCACCTCCCCTTCTCCATCACCAAACAACAACCGCACTCCCATCACCACCATAACCCGACCCATCATCACCACCACCAACACTCCCAGTAACAACCGTACTCCAACTCCCACCACTACCACCAATCGCACTCCTACTACCACCACCACCACCAGCACCAGCAGCAGCACCACCACCGCCACGCACTTGTCTCCGTGGTCCGGCCCTACTGGTTTCACCTCGTCAGCCGGACATAAGAAGAACTCTACCACCACTGACTCGAGACTTGTTGTCCTAGGAGCTCCAGCCGTCGGCAAATCTGGTGTGTGACTTTGTCTTTCAGTTTTATATGAAGTCTTTTGGAAGTCTTCTAAATTCCTTCACTAATTATTTACTTTTAATTATCCCCACGAGAGTAATTATAATATTCACTTAATTTACTCCTATGAACGTCACAATTAAGGGGGAGAAGAATGGTGACCGTGATTACTGTTCTTGCTTCCAGAGTTTCATAGGTCTACCACTCTTAACGTGATGAAGAAGTTATGAAATTTCTTTATAGTCGTTCTGAAACACGACGCGACTACCTTGAAACAATGACTGTTTGTGCTTGGGATCATGATGAATTAATCTGAGTTAACGTCTACCATTCAGGATATTTTTAATGTCTTGATGGGATTCATAATGTCTTTGGTCTCAAGGGTCCACAGTCATCTAGGGTACTCGAGATGTTTTGTGTCTGGAATAATTGATGTCACCCTGCGTTGTACTTTGTAGGTGTTGTGTGTGTGTGTGTGTGTGTGTGTGTGTGTGTGTGTGTGTGTGTGTGTGTGTGTGTGTGTGTGTGTGTGTGTGTGTGTGTGTGTAAAGGACAGACAACATAATCAGAACGTAATGAGAGAAAACGGAGAATTAGATCGAGAAAGTGAGTTTAGAAATTAGTTGTGAATAATAATAGAATAAATCAGTAAAGGCGAAGAAGGATATAGAAAGATAGAGGTAAAGAAGGCACTAGACGTAAGAGTGATGGATATCCAGGAAACAACAAAGGGTTTAAGTGAGAGAAGAGCATCAGGGCCTCAAGTGGTGTTTGAAGGGGTGGGGTGATGCTGAGGTGTGTGGAGAGGCAGGTAAAACACACAGGTATTTTGTGTCTTGTGTAAATGATATAAAGTTCAAATTAGTTCTGTTTTATTCAGTATTGTTGACTTTACAAATTAAGAGGTGACTTTTCTGGCAACTTTTTTTTATATAGTAACCGACTCTATATCCACCCATTTTCTATTTTAAAGTTTATTTTTGTTCTAATATTATTATAAAGTAGGTTTAGAGCCGTTACTATATAAATATCTCGTCTGCCATGTCAACAAAAGAGGGCCCGTCACTCAGCATACATATCAGTAAGCTCGGACCAACAGGGTGACAAATGCTTTAGTTACTAATCAAATTACAAGATAATTTCGTTTTCTCTCATGTTACCAAATTAGAAAACGTACCTAGGTCTAGGCGGTAGATTCAGATAAATTTTATTGGGCTTGCCATGACGGTGGAAGCATATTGGAGATATTTTTTATAAACAGAGGAACAGACACAACCATTCAAATCAAATGCAGTGGTTAATAAAGATCCCCAGTGGTGAGGTATGGAAAAATGCCGCCAAACGCCTCACGTGTACAGTAGAAAACATAAAATATATATTTACATGTAGTTTGATCATTAGTTTTTGGAATAGGAAGTTGATATTCAAGCAGAATAATCTTTATTTCTAGTGAGAGTTCCATGCAAAGTTTTAGGTGTTTGTGACCAATAGGACCTAAGTGATGGATGCAAAGAGAGATTTAATTTTGTTAGAGCCTTTATCCAAAACTTCGTCCATATTCTCTTATTTATTGACCGATTTCCACTAATAAAAGCTCATTTTAATTAATTCCATTGTGAAATTAATGGGAAAAGAGAATAAATTTCCTTTAGTTCATTATTTTCACAAATAAAAACAATAAAATGAACTTTGAATGGTGGTAATCGATAAATAAATGAGTTCGAATACTTTATTTGACTATGTTATTCAATATGGCGTCAATTTAACCTTAAAAGTGATTCATCATAGACAATACAGGTATACAAAGCACATCCTCGGTGTAGCAGATATACGGGGAAAAAATACCCCCTGACTGGGCATATATACACCGGTAAACAGCAAAACAATACGACCATGGAACGCCAACAAAGCCCTGAGATGTTTATTTTCACTATTATCCTTTGCTTAGTCTTATGTACTAATCAGTAATAGTCTATCTACACAAACACAACTGTTAAGAGCAAGAATGAATGAAGAAATGAAACAAAGATGATATTGCTGTTCTTTCGTTCAAACAGACTTTAAAACAACAACACATTATTTACGCCTATATCAGTTACCTAAACATATTATAATATTTATCGAGCAACAGAATTTCGAGACAAATATTATTTTCTATTAACGCGGCGAACAGACTGGTTTAAAGTGCTGGTGGTAGACGAGAGTGGTTGTCATGGTTACAGCTCTGGTGGTACGACTATTGACTGGTTGTCATGGTTACAGCGCTGGTGGTACGACTATTGACTGATTGTCATGGTGTCATGGTTACAGTGCTGGTGGTACGACTATTGACTGGTTGTCATGGTTACAGCGCTGGTAGTACGACTGTTGACTGGACGGTTCATCTGGGAGTACGACCCGACGTTGGAGGCTGCTTATCGTCATCACACTACAGTGGACGACGAACCGACCGTCATGCACATCTACGACACGGCCGGACAGGTACGTAGGTCATGGCCGGACAGGTACGTAGGTCATGGCCGGACAGGTACGTAGGTCATGGCCGGACAGGTACGAAGGTCATGGCCGGACAGGTACGTAGGTCATGGCCGGACAGGTACGTAGGTCATGGCCGGACAGGTACGTAGGTCATGGCCGGACAGGTACGTAGGTCATGGCCGGACAGGTACGTAGGTCATGGCCGGACAGGTACGTAGGTCATGGCCGGACAGGTACGTAGGTCATGGCCGGACAGGTACGTAGGTCATGGCCGGACAGGTACGTAGGTCATGGCTGGACAGGTACGTAGGTCATGGCCGGTCAGGTACGTAAATCATGGCTAGACAGGTATGTAAATCATGTCTAGACAGGTACGTAAGTCATAGCCGGGAAGGTGCGTACGTCATGGCTGGGCAGGTACGTAAGTCACGGCCAAACAGGTACGTAAATTATGTCTGGACAGGTACGTAAGTCATGGTTTTGTTGTTTATCAGTTTGTATATTATATCACACTTGCTGTTTAAGTATCGCCTGTTCTCTTAAATGAAGATGAAGTATACATATATTTTACCTTTTCTCAATAATAAAGGCTTTTGTATACATATCAGTTTGTGTTTATAATGTGTAGTTCCCGCCTTGAGACATGAGTAGGCGGAAGGTGACAAGACTCCCATCAGAACTGACTCGTTGACTTACACAGTATATAAACAGTTATGGCGTACAGCTCAGCGGATATAACACGGGAGTAAGACAAAATATTTAAAGTAATGACCTAAGTAATGGAGGAATGTGAGGTATTTATCTTATACCAAGTACCACAACCCAGCTTCACGTGTGGAGTAGAGAAGAGGTTGGAAATGTCTCACAACTGAAGAGACAGAGAGAGAGACAGAGAGAGAGACGGAGACAAAGAGAGACGTTTTCTGTGTTACGGCATGATGGAAGAGTTGTGCAATATGTAGAGGAGTATTGTGGGATGAAATGGGAGAGAAGGTCAGAGTTATATGTAAGAGGAAGGGCAAAGGTATTTTATGGGGAGGGAAAAGAAGGGGGGGGGGCATGGTTGTGTTGTGTTTGTTCAGTGACAGGATGAACTAAGGTGTGCCTGTGATGGGATACGACCAGAGAATAACGTGTATATTTCTCTCTCTATCTTGTATTTACTTCCCCAGGAGGAGGGATGTGTGAGTGAGGCTCATGCTCGCTGGGGTGACGGTTTCCTCCTAGCTTTTAGTTTGACCGACAGACGCAGCTTCACAACTCTCGCCGCTATCCACGCTGCTGTTGCCGCCGCCAGACAGACGCCAAACTTCTCCTGTGTCGTCGTCGCCAACAAAACTGACCTGGGTTTGTGTTTTTCTTCTGCTTATTATCTTCTTCGGGGAAAGTATCAAATGATGTAAATATTACACACACACACACCACGATGTTCTATCTGTATGTGGAGTGTGTGTGGGGGCAGGTTGAGAGATTGGTTAGAAAAATATAAAAATACAATTGAAGGTAAGACAATGAGACGACCATCACACAGGTACACTTCATATGTTAATTACTGAGGTGTGGTGCCATTATCTACTCTTGACGCCTCAACCTTTTGACACAGTAACTGTTGTTGTGTGTGAGTCAACATGGGGTGCTGATGTGCTCTGTCTACTGTCATGAAGTTGCTTAGTGTACCTCTTGTCTGTTGCTCCCTAAACTTATTTCTTATTTCCCTGTGCGTCTTTGCTGTATGTATCCTTTTGATCCGACTCGTAATTTGGGTTTGGGTAAAAGAGTTACACTGTGAGCCTTTTCCGATGTGATCTTGTCTCATCAGGCCACCTAGCGGAAGTGAGCGAAGATGAGGCCTCAGAGATGGCGGGAGAGTTAGGAGCATCGTTGTTCTTGACGTCGGCATGTGACGGCGGCCCTGCCATCCAAGCGGCCTTCACTGAGCTTCACAGAGACGTGGTGAGACGACGCTGGTCCCGTCGACGGAGGTCCTCAGCCAAGACCGTCATCGAGGGCTTCTACAAGATGTTCTCCCGATGACTTAACTGGTTGAGCTGTAGTCATTATGATCACACGTCTAACATTTACAAGGTGTACCTCCCTTAGTGAATGTCACCTAACGTTAGAATTAAAAAGATTATATATCACCTTCAACAGTGACCTAATATTAGAATAATTTAAACCCTCAACCACAGTGACCTTACTTTACAATATACAAAATGTTACAAGATGATTCTATTGTATGTAAACCCATATCTATGTTACTCAGGACAGAAGGCATTTTTAACACCCATGAACCTGAGACGCGGATATTCTCGTCCCCCCTTTTCCCGTTGTCATGTCTTAACAACAACAAGTGTTCCCGGAAAGATGTATTTATGTACAATGGCAATAATTTTTGGGGGTGTTTACAGCATAATAAAAACCCTCCCCCTGTGTTTTGCTGTATTGGGCTTTGGTGTATCTCTTTGTAGACAGAATATTCTCGTTTGTGTGTGTGTGTGTTGTGTGTGTGTGTGTTGTGTGTGTGTTGTGTGTGTGTGTGTGTTGTGTGTGTGTGTGTGTTGTGTGTGTGTGTGTTACGTATACATGCTGGACGAGACCGTAGAAACGTACAGGTTAATTAAATCATTATCGTGTTACCGTAAGCCATTTTGTTAACACTTACATTTTAACACAGAAAAGTTAAAGTAACCCCTGAGTGTTGATGGTCAATAGTATCGTAATGGACGGGCAGGTCGGTTCCTTAGGTGAGAGCTGATGTGGTTAGATCCGCCATATAGTGATTGAAGATGTTGGCCCTGTAAACATTATCAAGAATCTCTCCCTGTAACTTTGATAGATATTCACCCTTGAGTTACGGTACAGATAGTCACCCTTGAGTTACGGTACAGACAGTCACCCTTGAGTTACGGTTTCAGATAATTACCCTGAGTTACGGTACAGATAGTCACCCTGGAGTTACGGTACAGATAGTCACCCTGGAGTTATTGGTATTCTCCCTGTAATAAAGGTTCTTCCCATGTAGCTATAATAAAGATACTCCCTATATTATCAATACTCTCCCTGTAACTATATTAAAGCTGCTCTTCCTGTAACCATATTACAAAAAACATCCCTCTGTAACTGTATTGAACATGCTTTATTATAGATTAAACCAAGCGGAATGTGTCCACCAGACTGTAGCATTCAACCTATGTTCTCTTGTTTCTCTGTGTTTGTTAAAGGATGGACCAAGGAATCACACATTATGCTTCCACCGTAACATTTACTCTTTAATGACGAGTGTGAGTCGACCTACACCTCCCGCAAACTGGTCCCCTGTTGTCATATACCTCACGTAAACAACAGGTATCTATCAGAGGGACGACGGAGCAGTAAATACCTATTGTATGGATAATCTGTATAACAGCAGGGGACTAGTTTACCAGATGAGTTGACTTCACGTGTTTCCGGACTTTTATTTCCCCCAAGATGTCTATATTCTTCTTGAAGTTGTCTTTCTTAGTCCATAAAAGTGTCTTTCTGAGAGATGAATTGATGTAATTATAATAATGATAATAAAGATATACGTTAAAGGTACTTATTATAGCTATAAAACCTATATTTTGTGGACTTTTTAATCGGTACAGTATGAGGTCTTTAGTACTTTATTTACACGTCATCCTCCGCCACCCAACTTGTGTACAGTATATGTGAAATCGGGTTTATAAATATTCCTTCACTTATATTTCGTTCTGAAGGTGTGAGAGTCAGTACAGAGAGGAGACAAACATTCACTGGAATTTTGACCTTATTATGCATGTATTCCATTATAAAAATAACATAGTTTACAGTAGATAGTGAGGTGGAAGGGCAGAGGCAATAGCATCAGTGGCGGCTCTTGCATAGGGCTGCAGAGCTGCAGTCCCCCCAGACACTCACTGCCAGGCGTATGATTCCTTTAGAGAGACAGCTGAATAATACACTACCAACAAATATATCATTTTATATGTTATTTAATTATTTTCAATACGTTGCTAAGTGAATTTTCATTAAAATCAGACCAAAATTTAAGTTACTTTCATAGTTGCTGTCAATGCTGTACGATTCATGTCTGTTATTAATTGGCGCCACAATGAGCTGCACTTGAAGCAGCTCAGTCTCGTACAACGTGTGGACGGTGTGGTTAAATCGTGCTTTGTGTAAATCAGAAAGTCTCATAGACTTGTTGGAGATGATGAATGACAATAATCTACAGTCAACATTTTCAGACACTGTCAAGTTGCTGAAAATTTTAATAACAACTCCAATGACAACGGCAGAAGCAGAAAGGTGCTTTTCAACTTTGAAGAGAATTAAAACTTTTTTGCGCAGTACCATGGTGAATGACAGACTGTCTGCTTTAGCAGTGATATCCATTGAAAATAAAATGATAACAGAAATAAAGGATTTTAATGAAATAGTAATAAACAATTTTGCTACATCAAAGAGCAGACACGCCGACTTTATTTTCAATTAATACTGGAACATCACCACCAACACTACTACCATGCCCTGGGAATTCGTGGACATCAACTACAACTCATACCTGAGGTAGGTCAAATTTGTGTATCCTACTGTTGTGTGAGGCTTGCAGTCCTTCCAGTTTATTTTTCACGACCCGCCACTGAATAGCATACCGGTTCATCACTTTCTTGAAAATAAATCGACATTGAAAACTAAATAAAACATTCTAAAAGTTTCCTTCTTTACGTTCACATCATCTTTATTGAGGAGGTCGGGTATGTCGCCGGATCTCTGCAGAATCACATTATATTTCCCGAGAGAGACCAGCCTGGTGACCACATTATCAGACTACACACAAGGCGATGCAGTCAATGGGTAGCGGACAACAGGAACTTGGATGGCAGACACAAAGGTGATGGGAATAGAATGTGTTGATAGACAAAAAACCTTTACACCCGAAAGAGGTTCAACATCCCTGTAGGAAAAAATACAATTATATACACAAATGTTTTTCAGGCTCCTCTCACTCTCTATTACCTCTTTTCTCTCACCCTAATCCTTCACTTTGCTTCCCTTAGTTTGTTCTGTTACCTTTCCTTAATTTATTCTCCTTCCTTCCCTCTTTTAATTGTTTTTGTTTTCTCGATCTCTCACTTCGTTTCCCTCATTTTTTGCTCACTAATTGAAACACCAAAATGAAGTAGGCCAAAGGTGTCATGGCAAGGCGAGACGGAGGTGAGTCATTAGCCTAAATTCTTTTCCCTACAGAGTATCCTACAGAGGTTCCTACAGAGTATATCTTTATTGTATTGTTTCCTAATTTGATCTTTGTATTACACTCTTGATCCCAATGTGTTGCTTTGTCTTTATATATGTTTTTCGTGTTTTAATCTAACTTTTCTAATCAGTTATTCTCCGTGTGAGTACCGTTACTCCCTCACGTTTCTGGATATTTCACACACCTTCAGTAGAGTCAGGTGGCGGACACTAAAAGATAAGATATGTAAACGGGTTATAAATAAACATCGGGACTATGAGGTTTAATCAGGCAGTGTGTTGTCTAAGGGTGAGGAGAGTCCAATTGAGAGTCCAGCCCTAACGAGAGTCTAATTGAGAGTCCAGCCCTAACGAGAGTCCAATTGAGAGTCCAGCCCTAACGAGAGTTCAATGGAGAGTCCAGCCGCAGAGTGAGAGGAGTCGGTGACGGTGTGCTAGCAACATGTTCCGCTGGACTTCACAGTGGCTGGATAATCTGATTTTACTCACCAATGTCTTCACCTTCATGTTTACAGGTCTAGCTCTCGAGGTGACGTGGATATTCCCAGAAGTATACCTTACCAGCTTACCTGCTTACCTACCTACCTACCGACCTATTAATAATTTTCCTTCAATGAGCATAAATTGCTATCAATATTGAGGAAACAAATCTAATTGTCGAGGAGAGAGAGAGAGAGAGAGAGAGGTAACATGCTATACACCTGAGCTTAACAATATCTCAGGACCTCGATATGGACGTAGCAGGTAGGGGTAAATATAACAGTCCACAGGTAACCTCCCTATCTTCACACCTTTGATACTCGGCTCTCGATTAATACACATCCAGGACTATTGCACACACACACCAACTCCCTTCACACTACATTACATATTATCACTCAATGTACACATTACATCCACAATGGTAAACAAACATGTGCTCATTCCATGAGAGTACAGTGCAGTGACTCATTTCCTGTAACAGTAGTGAGTACTGTACAATGACTCCAATGTTTGCAGTGAAAGTAGAGAGTACAGTGACTACATGCTGACAATAACTCCTAAAGGAAAATATATAATAAATGTCAATTGTAAAATTAATTAATATTTGAAGAATTCACGAATTTTGTTGAATTGGTATTTCTTTTAAGTTTGTTTCATCTCACCACATACGGGACTACTCTGGGAAAGTACAGTAAGCAATAATAACGAGTGGTAAGGTAATATGAATTTTAATTAATATGGTAATTAAATTGTTGTTGTTTTATATATAAGATTAACTGAATATATAGTAAAGCAAACCTTGCTTAATCAGTATTCTAGACGTCTTAATACTTATTTGCAGTGTATTTGATGTTGCAAAGTCTATTAACACCATACTGTTGGTAGACGTAGGGAACATTTGGCATTTACTTACGTTACATTGGTTTAATATGTGTAAAAAAAAGCAATAGAACAGTTTAAATTGACCATTAGATTACATACAAAATCCAGTAATGTAATACAAAATTCAATTAATTTTATAAGTGTTATGATTCTTATTTACAATTATTCTAAGTTTGAAGAGCACATCAGTCATAAAATAATAACACCAAATTAAAATATATTTATATAAAGATTCTATCTCTAACACTTAAAAATAAATAGAGCAATTTAAATGGATAAAGAATATCTAAATAGCCAAGTCTTCCCTACGCCAAGGCTATACACAACACAGTGAAGCTGATGACATATTTCACACAAATTACGTTTTCCTGAACAACTTTTAAGGATTATATACGTGTAGTGGTGTAATTTACCTAGTATAGATACTCTTTTACTGGGATATTTATAAATTAATGTAAATCAGTGCGAGGAAAGGTGGATAATATTGGTATTTGTGTGGAGTGAGAGACTTAAGCTTAGATATTGTTTGGTAAGGTTAAAGCTGTTTTATTATTACACCACCTACAGTCACAGCAAGAGTGTAATGCATAACTTGGATCTCGTTACAAGGTTGGTAGAAGTTATCTTGGTTGTTAAATAGCAGTGAAAGTGTATATATAGAGATGATGTCTTAGTGTGTGTTGAATACCTGTAGGTGTTGGTTAAGTTGATTGGTGTGTGTTATGCTGTTATAGGGCTGTCTGGAGGCCTGATGTGAGATATTGATGTAATATATGGTTTGTTTTAGTCTTAACTGGGTAATAGACTTGGTTAAAACTGTATACATCTGGGTTGGTATTTTGATGGTGACTGATAACTCCTAACCTTATGGAGCTAATGGTAATAGTCTACTTTCCTTTCACACTGTAATGATTTTATTGATTTCTTATTAATATTGATGTATTGTATTAAGGTATATTCATTTCTTAATTTTTGACATCTGATTCGTACTTTATTCTGTTATACACTGCAAATACTGTGATTATGTTAAGATAAGTAAACTATTACCTGTGACTGATCATTCCTCGGCTTGTCAAGTAACACATTTTTTCCGAGTGAGAATTGTGAACTCTTGGAACAATCTGCCAGAGAGTGTGAGCTCTTTCATGACCAGACTTGACCAACACTGGAGCAGGTTCTGGTACATTCAGGAGCCGGTGCATGCCCAGTACTTGCCAACAGTGCGTAACGGAGACATCACTGACCGCTCATCAGTGGTGAAGAGGATAAAAGTAAAAAATGATCATAGAGATATTGACAGTCTCGGAGGTTCTCGTTGTTGATTCCTATGCCCGTCATTACACTTAAAACTGCTTATGACATGGATCAACCAAGACCAATTTAACAAAACAACCTTAGCTTGGTAAAGATCAGATTTAGCTGCATGCATGCATTACCATACCATACATAAAATAAAGTGTCATGTAATAGAGAATGGATTGCAAACCATCTGCATTTTTTTTATATGAGTGAGTTGAAATTCACACATAAAGCTGCAAGTTTGTCATTGCTTCCACCACTATGTTGCTCTGGTGGATGAAGACAAACTTTCACTGAAATTTGTTTCAGTGGGAACAAAGTATTAAGTGTTGCAGAAAAAATACAGCATGGTAATTATTAAAACTACTGTAATTGGTTCCTTCTTGCTAAAATCATTCAGTTCAGTGAGGGTTTTCTTCTGGATCATGCAAAAATGGTGGCTCTTAGAAATGATCCCTTGCTTATCACTGATAAGAGACAGCAACAAATTGCATCATGCATCCCAACTGCAAGGTGATATGAGCTTTTCATTTGTTCAGATGTACTAACTGCTCCCCACAGGCATCACAAGGGAGAGGGCAGTCTTTTAAAGTTTGATTATACTTTAGAAGAATGCGGGGGAGGGTTCCTGCACCTTTCTCTGGGGAGAGAATTGTGGGCTCTGAAACTACATTTTGATTATATGACCAGAAAGCCTGTACCTGTATACTGTACAGTACAGTATATACAATACAGTATTTCTGGGAATGAATGGTATTTAGAATTCAAAGATAAATGTATGCCAACAGTTGTTTCTCTTTTTTCTTTCAGATCAAGCAGTTTGGTATATCTTCACAGGCACATGTTAGTAATCATCCAAGGTTTTGAAAGAACAATATTACCACCATTACGATTATTAGCATGTATATGAACATTTAAAGGCAAAGTGTTTTTTTTGTGTGCTAGTTTTAACGTGGTTTTACTGCATAAGTGGGCTGTATTCTCCAGTGCAGACTCCTTCACACTACTGGTACAAGTAAATACAATTGCACTGAACAAGAGATTGTTTTCTCAAATCTAACAAGAGTGATTTAAAGATGGCAGAGCTTGAAAAACAAGATATCCCAGCACCATTGTCACCAGGGAAAGAAGAGAAGCTGGATAGTCCACTGCAGGAGAATCTCAGGGAAAACTTTGTTATATTAAAGGTTTGCATTATAATATTAGCTGTTTTTAGACTATTTTTCAAGTTTACATTAGCATATGGAAGATATTAGATTGATCCTTCAGTAAGCATATTTAATGCTTTGGTTTGAAGAATGTAAATGTACAAAATGCAAGAAATTCATCAGATGTGTGGAATCAATAAGCATTAGGTATTCTATGTGTTAATGATGATTCACATTGTCTTGTCACATGCTTAACATATATAGCATAACTTTTTGTTTTCGAGAATTGTGGATACAATCATCCCTTAAATTCCAGAGTTTGTGTCCCTTGCATTTAAGGGTGGAGGGGTTATTCTCTTCGATAAAGTTCTGAGTGAGTCCATGCTGAAATTACAACTTGATGGAGGGAACTTTTGACTCTTTTTTTATAATTATTTTGTTGAAGTCAGCCAGATTTATAAGGATACGGCAAATCCTGTATGTTACATGCAGTGCCACAATACTTCTGTAATAAGAAGGGTTACATCAGAAGGTCCTGTACAGTTGAAGAAAAAACACCACATGGCTCTGAGTCACCGAGAGGACCCCCAGCTGCCCAATCCTCCACCACCTGCTCCCCTGCTAGCTGCCCACTACCTCACCTCCACCACCTGCTCCCCTGCTAGCTGCCCACTACCTCACCTCCACCACCTGCTCCCCTGCTAGCTGCCCACTACCTCACCTCCACCACCTGTTCCTTAACATGTACTCTTCACTCTGTCTTACAAGGTTTCAAAAGAAGTCTTTTTAAGGAATTGATAGATACAGTATGCAAAGACATTAACACTCTTTATTCATTACATGTTAGGAAATGGGCTGGAGGATCCTGGCATTTTCCCTTCCAGTAGCAGACATTGTGCTGTATGATAGTAAGAATGTAGAACAATCCAGAGCACAGACTTAAAAACTATGGTGATAAATGATGTGCAGTAAAGTATATGGTTTGAATAAGGCAACAATGCTCAAGTGATTCTGGATAATTTGTCTTTTTGGTTCTGGACCATTAATTCTCGCATAATTTTGTTTTCATTTCTTTCCACTGCCTTACTTTATACATAGACATATTAAAATAATTCTGGTAAATTTAAAGGAAGAAAGTCACATAAAAATAAAATACAGTGAGAAATAACAATGTACAGTAAAAGTCCAAAAATCCGGATGCCAGAAATCCGGACCACCCGAGAATCCGGACTTTTCAAAAACTATTTTTTTTTTAGCGAGCTTTTGTGTATGTGCGCATGAGTGAGCGCCACAGCTGCACAGCGACAACAAGCGACCACGTGGTCGCCACTTTAAAACGAGCAATCAAACTGTGACAACATACAGGGAGTTCTGCTATAACGCGTGTTTTGATAACGCGAATTTGCTCTAACGCGATTTATGAATTCGGAACAATATTTGTATAACGCGAACGCTTGTTTGCTATAACGCGATTTTTGCTTACTATTTCTCCAATTTTGTGGTATTAACTGTGAATATGGTAAAGAAGAATATCTCCAAAAAGCGCTCTGATGATAGAATTCCCGGTGATTATCGTAAAAGAAAGGATATAACACTTGAAGAGAAGCTCAATGTTATCAACCTCAAAATCACCCTTCTCCCCCATCAAGTTACATTCATATTTTTTCAAGGTAAAGTGTTAAATTTACTGTATGATTTCATTATTAGATATGAATGTAACATTTATTTAGACTGTGCTATCCTTTGTGTTAGGCTAAATACTAAATTTTTTCGATTTCGAGTAATCTGCACCTAACCCTATTTTCTCCATAAGCCCTGTTATTTCTATTACGCGATTTTCTATAACACGATATTTTACAAGAACACAATTATCGCGTTATAGCAGAACTACCTAGATATACTCGTCTATAACCCCCCTCGTTTATCAGTCGATCCTGATTCTTTTGACCAAGAAATCGTAAATTTATGATATTCCTCGTTTATAGTTCGACCCACGTTTTTGAGGGTAATGGAACAACAAAACCTTCAGTACAAACACTCTACGTCCTATAAACTGAGGCTAGCCGTGCATGAAACACGAGTGCCAAAGGCAAATTGTTTACCATTTATTATTACAACACTTTACACTGAAACGCGGGTAGTGTCAACAAAAATATTGTATATTTCCATTCAAGTATTTATTCAAGTCAATTAGGAGGGAATATTATTGAAATACAACAGTTTTTTAACTAAACCATTCGAAAAGCGATTACGTAACATCTTTTGAACGAAAGAAAGCGAAAGTCATTGTTTTCGTCACGATTTTATCCCACTTTCCATTACAATACGTACGTAATTTCAGGAAAAATATTACATTTCCGTGAATGTATTATATCAAGCACAGTATGAATAGAATACCATTGTAATATAACAATATTTTGAGTCCTACTCTTTCCATTTACAGAATACTGCACAAGCCCATAATAATGGCTCCTAAAGTAGATAAACTTCGTTGTGTGAAGAGAAAGAACAACACGTTGAAATTGAGTGACAAACTTGAAATAATCAAGAAACTAGAACTTGGTGTGAGCAATACTGTTCTAATGGAAACATACGACATTGGAACGTCTACAATTTATGATATATAAAAGGCAAAGAATAAAATTCTAGAATTCACAGCTTTTTCATTAAAACTGCTCGTTTTGATAAATGAAGCATGCTATGTTTGCTTATGAATAAGCTATCAAAATGTACCTGTTCATCTCTTCTTTATTCTTCCTTAAATTTGAATTTTAAAAGTACTGCCTGAGAATCCGGAAAATCCGAAAATCCGGACCGACCCAATCCCCAAGCAGTCCGGATTTTTGGACTTATACTGTAATTGTTCCCATAAACATTAATCCCACCATTATCATCAAGAGAGATAACCTTCTTTTTCCTCTAGTGGAGGTACTAAACTTTCCCTCTTCCCTCTAGAAACAAACAATATACTGTGCAGTGATGTTAGAAGGTAATGAGAAACCCAAACATAAAACCACTACAATAAATGTGTAGTACAGTACAGTACAGTATAGTAAGTAAGCTATATACTGTACTGTACATGGCACCATGGCAATGACTGTAGCAGTAACATGCAGGTGTTTGATACTGTACCGACAAATTCACTTGTGTAGTAAAGAAAATAATCCCCCACAATTAGAAGAATTCTTTCTGTGTTTGGTTGATTTGAAGCTTATTATAAACTGACATTGTGTGTGGCCTACAGAATATGTTGATCAGCCCAGATGACACTGTATTTGATCAACTTCGATCTCATCTTCAAGAGAAGATCTGCGATGGAAATGGGGAGACTCTTTTTGAAGTGGGAGTTGGTGCAGGTCAGTATGTCAGAATGCTTTTGTTTCACAGTAATTTTTTTGATCCTTATATTTTGTAAAGGATAATGTTAAAATTAAAAGTCTGTTAAAATTAGTGTTAAATAAGATATTACGGGTTTTCTGTTTTGAAGATTGAAACCAGATGTAGTATTTCTTGCTTTAAAGATATAAACAGTTACAATAATCTCCCAGAAAGAAATTGCACATCCACAAAATTTTTCCGGCCGTTGGTGAATGTTATTGTACCTAAACTACACATCTGGCACAGAGCCCTGTTGCTGTGGAGGCATAACTGCAGTCAGACAGACACAAAGTGGTATTTATTTATGCAAAAACTAGTGTACGCAAACAGTGCAGTAAACTCTCTCTAACCCAGACTCGCTTAATCCGGGTCCCCTTGCAAACCGGGCTGAGTCCAGCACTGGACACATGTATCCCCAACTTGGAAAAACACGACCAAAATCCGATAAGTACAAGGTGATACAGGAGGGTCGGAGAGATTACTGTAATTGAATTTAGGTGCAAATAATGATCTTGAAAGATAATTTCATGTCCACATCTTCACAGATGATTCTGTTTGTGGACTGCCTGAAGATGAGTATGAAGCGTCAGTGGCCACGTTAAAGTCTTTGGCTGACACCCTTGAGGCAGACTGTATTTTACTCCGAGAGAAAAAATCTAAGACTGGTACTCAGGGGCAGTTTCTGGTGAGGAAGAAGGCTGATGCAGAAGATTTCATGGAAGTCAGGTAAGTTTATTATGAGCTTTATCAATGTAACTAACTATCTATCTGTCTATTTATCTGTCTAAATATCAATCTTTGTCTGTCTTATTGTCTGTTTCCCACATGTGTAAGTTGTTGGATATAAGGAACAAATGTCAGTGAGAGGAAGGAAATTTGAAATCTTAAGTACAAGAAAATAAGAAAGTGACAAGAATGGGCTGAAACAATAAGTACACACACACACACTTTATAACCTTAACTTACCTACAAAGTCAGGATTGGTTAGCATCACCCCTTTCCCAATAGAATATGCCTGTAAAAAACAAGTTCCACAAAAGTATTGAGTGTATTTAAATACCAACACTGTACTGTACTGCATATTGACAGAAAACCTCCACTACATCACAGTAATGTGCCCTAACAGTTGCTCCGATATAGTTGACTGCTTTTGTGGTAAACTTTAATCTCATGAAAAAACAAAAACAGGTTTGCATTCTAAGGCAGGAAAATATATACCTGTGTGTAAATTTTGCCTACTGTCCACAGGTGACACCATCATTTGGTGTTGGTTTGTAGTTAGAGCAATTGGAAATGTTCCATTTTCCCCTAATCTGGATTAACACTCAACACCACTGTGTGGATATATTCTGTGCATAAGAACAGCCCCAAGGCTCTTTATAGTAGTTTCGAGAAGGGTTAGTCGAGGTTTCATTGCCTTGTTTACATTAAAGCGAAATAAACAATGATTTGTTTAATTTGCAATTTGATAATAATGGACCTGGTTTGTAATGTACAGGGTATGTTGTGGGGATCTCCTCTATCTGACTTATTAATCATTTAAAAGAACATTCCTGAGTTGGCATTTAGGGTCACTTTGCACTCAGATAAAGCTGGATTTAGGCTTTGGTCCTTTCAATAGGGTGTTGATGTAGGGGATTCCCCACTCAGACTGGCTTGTTGGATTTTGGCCAGAACTCTGTCATGGGCTCAGGGGATAGTTCAAGAAACAGTCTTAAGATTTTCTACAAATATTTCCATGTAACTTTCAGAGTGGCAGTAGTTGGAAATGTAGATGCAGGAAAGTCCACACTATTAGGGGTCCTGACACATGGTGAACTTGATAATGGCCGAGGTACTGCTCGCATGAAACTGTTTCGTCATAAACACGAGATGGAGACAGGAAGGACTTCTTCTGTTGGAAATGATATTCTTGGGTTTGATAGTCGAGGTAAGCTTTTTGTGTGTTAAAATTTCCATGTGTCCCACTGAAATCTTATGCATCGTAGGGGTGGAAGACGTCAGCTTATTGTTCATAAATTTTGCCAAGTATATGTGAGTTGGTGATGAAAACATGAATAACAAACTAACTGTAATGTTCATCCACCTTTAAGTGTACGTGACGGTATGTTCTACACTGTACAACTAAATAGAGAGATTTTAACATGTTGAATTATTATACCCACCAAAACTTGTATGTTTATGAATTTAGTTGAGTTTACTTCTCTCATTAGTACAGTACTATAGTTAAATGTCAGATACAATATTATCTCTTGACAGGAAAAGTTGTGAATAAACCTGATCACGGTCACCTGGATTGGGTCAAGATCTGTGAGGCATCAAGCAAAGTGATCACTTTCATTGACTTGGCAGGCCATGAACGATACCTCAAGACAACTGTATTTGGCATGACTGGTCACCTTCCCGACTTCACAATGCTCATGGTATGTGTGCGTGATATAAGCGTGAAAGTATATACTGTATACAGTATTTAGCTTGATAATTTCTTAATCAACGATGTAGAGTACTCACATTTTTTGGTGTCTTGAAAACCCAAGAACCCTCAACATTAATCGCTGGCTGGTATTAGTTTATTATCTCTTTTATATCTTCCTGTGATAGCTTGTTATATAAAAAGATATCTTTGGTAATAAAATATGAACCTGGAAATTTATCTGCATAATTGGTTTCTGTGCTCTAGCCTAACAGAACCCCCCACCCCCCAACAAATTTACAATATCTCAAAATTACATGAAATAAAAATTATTTTAGAAAATATGTAAATTTATTCAATAATCATTAGCACAACTGATTCCCCAAATACATCTTTTTGGCTTCAAATTTTTAACAAACATATTGAGGAGTTTACATCGTGATTAAAAAATAATAAATGTGAATTGCATCATATCATGTTTACTGTACCAACTTTGTATGAACCACTTCTGGGATATGTCGTCTTTAGATGACTTACAGCTCTTAACCCAGTGGTTCTCAACCTTGTTTGCCCCATGCACCCCTTTCACCATATGTCAGAATGTCATTCCCCCCTCCTTTCCATGATTGTCTGCCTCAAAAAGTGCATTCCAAATAATATGCATATAATACTGAAAATACTTTATTTTTTCCATATTAGTATCAGTTTTCCCCACCCCCTGAAAACCTGAGGGGGGGAAATTCCCCCCTGGTTGAGAACCCCTGTCTTAACCTATCAATTCTTGTTTGGTCCACTAATACTCATTATATATTATTACACTGCTCACTCCAGCAGTCTACCCTTTAATTTCCACTTTTTTCTTTCTAAGTAGTTCTCCACCCTCTTGCTTTCCTCATCTTCCATGTGCTGTAATTAATTGTTGCTTTAATTCCAGGTTGGTGCCAATGCTGGTGTTGTTGGTATGACCAAAGAACATCTGGGTCTGGCATTGGCTCTTAATGTACCTGTGTTTGTCATTGTCACCAAGATTGATATGTGTCCACCCAATGTTCTACAAGACACTCTTAAGCTACTTCATAAAATATTAAAGAGTGCCGGATGTAGAAAAGTTCCCCTTTTGGTCAGGAATGCCGAGGATGTAGTTGTCTCTGCCACAAACTTTGTTTCGGAGAGGTAAGATGTCAGTTTTGTGGTGATCTTATTTATACTGTATTGCAATAGACTTTTTAAAATGGAAAATATTACTTTAGATGTACAGTATTAATGTTGTCAATTTAGTAATGGTAAATATTTATGATTACTGTCATACTCTCTGCCTTGTACCATACCTTACACCTCTTCTTCCTCGTACTGTCGTGTAAACCCCTCTGCCAATAAGCAACCAGACCACCTCCCCACTCGGTTGACTTACCACAATGTATAATGACTCATACTTACCATGGTTCCACAACTACATGGAGGTGATGGTCAGAAATATTTTTTTAATATATACTGTAAAATGTACAGGTATACTGGAGCATCATGTTATGGAATGGATGTGTTCTTGAAAAAGTGACTGTATCGTGAATTTCCGTAACACGAACCATTTTACCCCATATACAGTCGGCCCTTAACATACGCGGGGGTTACGTAACAGAGATACCTGTGGATGTTAAAAATCCGTGTATATGTGCTGGTCCCCCCATGTCCTTATTTACCGTATATACCTGTGTGTAGTTCAAGTTTTTAAGACCAAATTATTTGGCAAAAAATTGGTGGTTGACCCCTAAACGGGTAATAGTTTCGTTAGGTTGAAAAATATTTACCAGTAACTACCAGTAAACAGTGGAAACGATGCACCAATGCACCACCAGCTGTGAGTGTCGGTACAGTTGCCAGGGCAGATCTCTTGCGTCCTCATAGCAAGCCCAAAGTAGCCAAATCCATGGTATGGTAGCACAGGACGATGTAAAACAAAGTATTCATTTATTAAAGTTTATTTATATATACTGTACATAAATTTTTGTTCATTACATTTGAAAGATCAATCTTTGTTAATTAAATTTGAAACAAAAGAAAACTACAATACCGTATTTTCATTAAAATATTACATCACAAGTATATTTTTACCTTAACTGTGACTGAATGAATATAGGTATTCTCAGAAATAAATATGGAAATATAATATTTTTGCTGGAATGACGTACATATTACAGTGGAAAGTGGGATAAAATCATGACGAAAACAATGACTTTCGCTTTCTTTCGTTATTCAAAAGATTTTACCGTAATCGCTTTTCGAATGGTTTTCAGTTAAAAAACTGTTGTACTCGTACTGTATTACAATAATATTCTATCCTATCATTAGCCTTATAATCCCACAACTGAAAACCATTCGAAAAGCGATTACGGTAACATCTTTTGAACGAAAGAAAGAGAAAGTCATTGCTTTCGTCACAATTTTATCCCACTTTTCACTGTAATACGTACATCATTTCAGCAAAAATATTACATTTCCATGTTCTCAGAAATAAATGGTAGTTTTGTTGAAACGTAATGTACAATATTTAATATTAAAATGCAAAAATAGCTATAAAAACAATTAATACACCCGTAATGTACTGGCTGGCATCTCCACTCGTCCCTGCTCCCGCGTCCAAGGTCACCACTCCTCCCAACTCGCTCCCTCCTCCTCTACCTCCTCCACCTCCACCGTCACTACTGCCGACAACGAACACAAATGTTTTGTGAATAACTGCACCTCCACTTCCTATGTACAGTACTGAACTGTACTGTGCTGTGCATTTTTACAAACAATAAACATGGCAAGAAAAGCTATTAAAAAAAAAGAGATAAAAATTTCACTTTACTGTACAGTACCTATCCTCGGCGACAGGACGGGGGTCATCGGGCTCATCGTCACTCAATTCCATAACGGGTGGTGAAGTGGGGGCGACGGTGGATTCAGCTGCTTCCTCACTGCCGCCAGTGATTGATGGTGTTAAATCTCTCCTTCGGTGATCAAAGAACATGGTGATGGGGAGTTGTCGTCTCTTTCTTTCATTTCTTCCATGATGTTTTTGTATGGAGCGAAAACGTCATCCATCCCTCGCATGAATTTCAGGGCACGCACCATGGAGGGGTCCATACTATAGGCCAGGTTTTTCAGTGCCTCAATATTCCTGGTCATCTCCCCCAACTTCTCCAACGTTATTTCTTGGTGCTCTTCCTCTTCCTCATCCTCTTTCCCTTTCGCTTCCTCTTCCTTGCCTGAGTCTACTAACTCCTGTAGATCCTCCTCGGTCAGCTCAGTGTCGTGCTCTTCAATTAGCTCCCTAATCTCGTCCTCTGCCATGTCCTGGAAGCCTTCAGCAGCCACTTTCCTTGACAGTGCCAGGGTCTTTCTGAATATTTTCATTAAAATCCATCAAAATCATTTTCCTTGTCATCGTCTTAAGCACCAAACAGCTCCTCCCAGTCTTCTCCTTGAACAGGGCTAGAGGGTACGTGTTTTTCGAATCGTTTTCAATTAAAAAAAATGTTACAGCACATGTATATTTTACCTAAACTGTGCCTGAATGAATATATTCTCAGAAATAAATAGTAGTTTTGCTGAAACGTGATGTATTTCAATGTAAAATAGGATAAAATACATGACGAAAACAAGAGACTTTACCTAACCTTCCGATGTTCAAGATATGTTACTCGTTTTTTTAGTTGTTTTCGGTTAAAATACTCTTATATTAGTGATATTCTATTCATACTGTGCTTGATATAATACATTCACGGAAATGTAATATTTTTGCAACTACAATGCTGATGTCAACACAAGTGTGATTACAGCGAGACTGACTGAGTGAGGGAGAGCTATGCGTGTGTGTGTGAGGTTGCGGGAGTGGGCGGTGTTCGGTGCCGCGTGCGAGTTGAATGGCGCGCGATTTGAATGTACTTCAATTACTTCAATGTACAGAATATTCCTTCGGCGGGGCAATCCGCGTATTTGCAAATCCGTGTATTATAAACCCGCGTATGTTAAGGGCCGACTGTACTGTACTCTCATGTTAACAGTGAAGATGCATTTACATGGAATTTTTTTTTTGGTTAACACAAGCAATAAAAACACATGTAATTGGAGATATACATTTCTAAACACATATGAATTATAGTTTAGACATTTTATAATTTTACTTACCACAAATAATAGTAAATACATAAAATACCTAAGCTATGGCAATAGCACTGCCATCAACGTCATCGATGTGCACAAATATGAATTGAATGTCTTAAAAAAATATAAAATTGTGGTAATTTTTGTTTTGCATTTAGTGATTACTTTTTTTTTTTTTTTAATTCCATAAGGTTGAATTTACATTCTGTATTCTCATTTTAGTGGTAATGATTTACAGTATCAGTAAGGGTGAATTCTATTACCAGAATTGCCAGTGTATATATATTTTTGTATGTTAGTGTATTTTGTTGTAGTGTTATGTTCATACCTTGTAAGATTCATGCCTTGTACAGGTATGAGGAATTTTGTGGCCCCTTTGTGAAAACTACAAGAATTCCTGTATATCTATTTATCTATCTATCTATCTTTCTCTTATTTTTAATTGGTTATCTTATATTTCAGGTTATGTCCAATATTCCAAGTATCTAACGTGTCCGGAGACAACCTGGACCTCTTGACCATGTTCCTGAACCTCTTGTCATCAAGAACACCCCAGAATGACAATGATCCAGCACAGTTTCAGATTGATGACACTTACCAAGTTCCTGTGAGTTGTTAGAACTTAAGAATGGTGTTAGAGATAATTATTAACCGAAGATTTATTTCCGAGTAACTACTGAAATTTGAGAACACTGAAAAAATAAAGGTTTAGCTGATCTTGAGCCATAATTTCAAAACTCTCCAAATCTCTCCTGACTAGTTATTCCACTCTGTAATATTACATGTATTCCAGTATATGGGCAATGAATACATCAAAGACTGTAGTGAGTACAGTAGATGAAGTAATTCTTTCTAACTTAGTGGCAGTTAAACTATATCATACGAACTAGTGGCCACATAAGCTTTGGTATTAGTAGTATGTTTATTTGAAGTTAGAGTGACGAGTTGCTTGAATGTGTATGTTTGTTAATAATAGTTTTGGAGTTGCTAGTGCATTTGGTTTGCCAGGCCTACATATCTCAGTATTATACCTTGTACTCATATTATTTTGTTCAGCTTTTTTTTTTATCACTTGTTAGCTTACTAGCCATTTGGATGATTGGTCTATCCAGTGTTAGTACAAGAGGAAACTAGACTCTGGGATACCTGTGATGTTTGGTAGGGTCACACTACCAAACATCACAGGTTTCCCGGGCTCCGGTTTCTTCCTCCTGGTCTAGCCCGTAAAAATATATTAATCACACTTGTTTAAGGCCAGCTCCAAGCCTAAGTTTTCTAGGTGGAACACTCAAAGGATTAATATGGTTTTTAATACATATTTTTTCTCTTTGGCAGTGAAAGTCATTGGGCACTTTACTTGTAAGATGTAGTAAAGGGATTTTATTTTTGCAGATAGACTGAAAAGTGGGGGAGAGAATAATCAAGTTGTCTATCATGGAGAATACTGTAGTTTGTGAGGAAAAACCGTCACATTCCAGTGATTTTTCTGTCTTGGATGACAACATTTAAATCCTTCAGAATTTTTTTTTTAGAAGTGATAAGTACATTTATGTATTGGATAGATAAACTACTCCTCATAGTGGTTGAATATTCTGTTGGGCCTTCTTGATCCAGTTGAGTTTGGCCATAGAGTAAAGTATCTGGTGAATCCCTTCATTTTTAATTTACTAAAAAATAACTATGAAAACATATTGGAATACTGTACATAATACTCAAGGAAAAATATGTTGGTTTTCACTATAATGGTTGCTGCCAGGGCTAAAGTACCATATTCATCATTATGGCACTGATTAGTCAACATTTTACCATTTACATTGTTGGTTTTATAAAGTTTAAATGAAAATAACAAAAACATTCTCTTCTTCCTCTGAGATAGAGGAGAAAGTGTTTTTGACCATAAGAATATTGTGCACTTGATCATTCAAAACCAGTGATATAGAATTGTATCATTTACAGGGTGTAGGTGTGGTTGTGTCGGGCACGTGTATGAAGGGAATCATCAGGGTAAATGATACACTTCTTCTTGGTCCTAATGGCTTGGGTGACTTCATTCCTATGCCCATTAAATCTATCCATCGGAAGCGAATGCCAGTGCGTGAGGTAAGAGGAGGTCAGACTGCCTCATTTGCCCTAAAGAAGATCAAGATCCATGATGTGCGGAAAGGACAGGTGCTGGTAGATCCATCTCTAAATCCCTCATCATGCTGGGAATTCAAGGTATTTTTTTTCTTTCTTTTCTCCCTGTTTTCCACTCTCAGCTAGGAATATTTATGTCAGATACAGGTATCCTTTGTTTTGCATTAATTCACTTCACATTAATTCAGTTTAGCAATGAAAAAAATTTGACTCCATTTCTCACTTAACATTATGTAAAAATTCGGTTTAACGATAGCTTGCCTCACTGGGAAGAGGGGGAAAAACTGGAGATGAGGTGCCCTGTGAGATGGCATGTTGCCATTGTTACATGTAATGAAACGATAAAAGTTGTGGAATGATTTTTACAATAATCTAATAAAGAAAATATAATTAAAAAAAAATGGAGAGCATGGGTGTGTATGTGTGGAGCCAGTGGGCTGTAACTGTGGCGCTGACTTGCCACCCAGCCGCTCGCCCTCCCCCTGATATCACGTCAGGGCAGACACCCGTCTGAGTCGGTGGGTGACTGCCCAGCTGAACTGTGTTGCGTCGCCCAGAGGATGGTTTGAGTGTGGAAGAGATTATTATTTTTTTTTTTTGCATAAAATAGGTGTTACAGGTGTTGACCATTATATAATGAAGTTAGAGACTTTGAAAAGCCATTGCAAGGTGATCGATCATATATTGATTTAATATCTTATGGGGGAAAATAGGTTCCGTTGCTGAGAACCTGAAGAGCCAGAGTTAGCACTCACAGCAGTTATTTTTCATCTCATAATTTCCTTTTTTTTGTACTCTGTTTCATGTGCACACAATCTTTCATACAGAATGTACAAATAAACAAAATAATTATTATAAGGTCGAAAACATAAGGGAATAAAAAATTGATGTGCTTGGGAACTAGCACAGAGAGCAGGGAGGGGGGGAGTGGCATGGGGATCTCGGTTCACTGCTTCGTGTCCTGTGTGTGGGGATACGATTGTCAAATGGAAATTCCAATTTTTTTCTTTTACTTATTATTATTTTTTAATTATTCCTCACATTTGCTGGTACAGTACTGGGTACCGGGTATATATTATTTTATATACTACTGTATAAAGAATAGCTTCTTCCATACACTAACCATCCTGTGGATGACATGACACAGTTCAGCTTAGCAGTCACCAGGGATGGGCAGAGCCTCCCACACATCCCTCGTGGGTCTCACGTTTTACGCCATTCCAAGATTGCAACATCGTATCTCGGAATATTGCGAGTTATTGCAAATCACTTTTTCATAACTTTGACAATGTAGGAAAAGCATTCGGGTAGTGACCATCGTAAAACTGATCTTACCCAATTCCTAGCAGTAAATGTTGTTAATTTTTTAACATTGTAAAACTGATCAACCATACAGGTATATAGATCCATTGTATAATGGTGAACACCTATATTGTACTTTATGATGTGCTGTGTATCTATTTATTGTTTATTATAGCAATTTCTTTTTCATTTATGACCTACAATTTGAAATTTGTTTAAATTAGGCTCACCTTTTGTTCACAAAATTGTTTTAACTCTGAGCCACATCGTTTATACATGAAGTTTGGTGCTAATAAATCAATTGTTTAATTTTGAAACCATTTACTGTATAACAAGGTCATTTAAGATTATTGTTAGGGAGTACGGTACAGTACTGTATTCGGTGTTTACCGCCCTGCTATTTTAATGTGTTGTTTGCCCTCCGTGCTTTGCTGTTATTTTGCTTAGCGTTAGGGTTTTCAGTAAGGCAACCCCATCGTTAAACAAGGGATACCTGTAATGCTCTTTATTCATACATCTCGGTGTACATTACTACATACCTTGAGATTATTCTCTTTTTCGTCACCACCAGAATTCCTCCAACAAAAGTGTTGTTACACAAAGTACCTCAAGTATTTTCAATACAGTACTGTATCTAAAAACACATTTCTCAATTTGAGTAAAACTAAAATAACAATTCTTTTTTGTTCCTCATCATTATAAAAAAAATTAAGTTTCTAAATATTAATCACAAAGTTTCAAAGAAAGGTTATGTCTGCAGGGGGAGATATTGGTGTTACACCATCCAACAACAATCAGTACAAAATACCAAGCTATGGTTCATGTGGGGTCTGTACGGCAGACGGCTTCCATCATTGCCATGGACAAGGAGTGTCTAAGGACGGGAGACAAGGCTATTGTTCACTTTAGGTTTATCAAGCATCCAGAATACCTGAAGAATGGACTAAAAATGGTAAGATCACTTAATTAATCATATTTTTGGTTATCTAGCTTTGCAGTTGGGGAAGTGAATGTAGTCAAGTGCAGTGACAGCTACACTTCTAACTTGTGTAGACAATAAGCTATATCTACACTCTCCTTAATTGGCTGACAGGCTTATAGGACCCACTTTCTCATATCATAGATTTTATAACTTTATTATGTTGCATTATGTAACCTAGCTGAGTGCAGAAGATAAAGTGAAGGATGTGTAATTCTGGAAAAGTCTTTGTAATTCCAATAATGATTATTTATTTATGTATACAATATTCCCATAACTTTATAGAAATTATAGTCAGTCAATATTTTTGGATAGAATGTTGATTTGATTTAATGTGTTATTTGTGTATGTACAGTATATATGTCTGTGTTGTATACCTGTTTATAGTGTTCCAAGTAAGGTAACCTGACTGTTTAGACATTAACAGTGTGTTCTTAATTACCCTTTTTAGTTAAGAAACAAAACAAATTTTAGTTTCATCCTATTTATGAAAGATAAATAACTAATAATGGGATGCCAACTTCACTTTTCTAAGGCACCTCACTTTGGCAGGTTTTCCGTGAGGGTCGCACCAAAGCTGTGGGTCGTGTGTTGGAGGTTATTCCAAAGATTGCCTCCCTACAGCACCAGAAGAATCACAAAATTATGAAGATGGTCAAACAGGTGAGTTGAATCGGAAGTTTTTCATTATCATTTTGGTAGATGAGGATTTCCAAAGGTGGCCAGTAGATCATTGTGTGGAATTGTCTTTGAGAGAAGTACTGTATCATGAGAAAATAATTATTTGTTATTTGGAAATATACTACACAATACAGAGTGTGCAAGTAAAAGAAAGGAAGCAGGAATACAGTATTAAGTTTTATCGTGGGAAGGGTAGTACAGCAGGCTCTTGAATTTGCACAACACTCTCTGGAATTTACCCTCTGCCAAGTGGTTCCAGTAATATCTCCATTAGCCGGAATCCCTCAAACCCGGAACTCTCTGCTAGCCGGAATTGAAATTTTCTTGGAAAATCGTTCCGAAAGCTGGAATTTAAAGGAAAATTCCAGCTTTGGGAACGATTTTCCGTAAAATTCTGAAAAAAAATTCCCGGTACCCAGTAAACGGAAAATTCCGGGGATGGGGGAGCTCTTTTCTGGGTTTGAGAGATGAAAATCAGGCACATTTTCTGGAAATTCTGAGAAAAATTTTCCGTTACCCAGAAAATTCCGGGGATGAGGGATTCTTTTTCCGGGTTCGAGAGATGATGTAATGGGCAGTTTCTGGAATTTTCATGAGCATTTTTCCTTTACCTGAAAAATTCTGGGGATGAGGGATTTTTTTCCGACTTTGAGAGAGTCATCTCATTACCCGGAAATCACTCATTCCCAGAAGTGCTCTGCACCAATTGTTCCGGCTAACGGAGATATCACTGTACTGAATAACATTCTTGGGGTCCTTGAGTCCAGTCAGAGTGAACCTCCTCATGTCAGCCTGGATTAATCTGTTTACCCCTTGGGTATACCCTGTACCATTGCCCACAAATAAGGGGGAAGTGATATTGTTGTTTTGAAGAACTAAAGGTCTCTTTAGATTGGTGACTACCTAGCTGAATGCTCTGTTGCCATAGCAACTGGCTCTGCCATTTTTTAATCTGAGTAAAGCCAATCCTCTCTGAATGATTCAGTATATAGAAGCTCTTTGTTGACCCTTGTGGGCATTGTAGGGATACATTAGCAATGTTTAGTGTAAGTATGAGTGTTATTTTAAATGTCAGGCAATCTTGCTCTTACATATGTGTTTGTGACTTTTTTTTTTTTTTGTACCTTCCCTGCCAATTATGGACTTGTGTATTAGAAGGTGGCTGGCCTTAGCACTGGAATTTCTGACCCTTTTATTGCACAAGCATATATCTCAGTCCACATTTATGTGGATTTACTTTGTGAGGGCCAGGATATTCTCCAGGTTGCCTGTTATTGGATAAGGCATCTCATATGCTCTGGATAGCCATAATGGGCAGATGTCTGAAGTACCTTCCTCTGCATTTGAACATTCCTGCATGTTATGATGTTCCCTGTTTTTATTCTTGGAGGTTTTAACTTGCTTACAGTTGATTTCATGGTTTTATTACTTGTTAACTGTTCAGGTGGTCTTGTCAGTTTGCTCAGATAGGTTGGATGGGCTCTGGAGTGATTTAAGCAGTGCTTATGTGAAACATAGGTACAGTGCTCTATTCCATTATAGGACTCCACATTAAAGGGAATCAAATTACTTTGGAATTTGTGGAGAGAATTTTGTATATAAAAGATTATTCATTGGTTGAGAGGGAGCTAATTTTTTGGTATTCCTTTACATTTCCTGAGGTATGTATTTGTTAGTTAGGGTGTTTCATTTAGAACTGTTGACATACAACCTCTACTTCATCTTTCCTAGTTGTTTGGAATTTTCCAGGTCACTTGTTGATTGATCTACAGTATATACTGTTAAACAAAGGGAATATCATCCTCTTCTCCTGGTGAGTTCTGTTATCTGCAGGAGTATGGAAGTTTGTTGTCCACATTAGTGACTGAAAGGTTTGTTTCAAGCAAAGTGGCTTCATGGTTTATTGTTGTGTGCCATTGAGTTTATGGTATTTTGAAATGCTGTTTGATTAGAGTTGGAGCATGTTTCTTGTGCCCTGGTTTGCTTGGGGAAGTAGCTATTTATTCAGCATTATTCACTGATCTGACAAGACTTTGTTCCAGCCTCAGAATGCAAATAGACCCCAATGTAAAGTAGGCATTGCCAAAGGGTGTTCTGGTGGTGTACTCTTACAGGTCTCTTGTGTCTTTCCCCTTAGCCATAAAATAGTAGTTCATAAATTAGTAATTTCTTTTTGTGTATTCTGAAGATTCACAGTACTGTACTGTATTTCACATTGCTTGGTATCTAGCCCGTTGAAGTACTGTATTTTGTGGAACAGTGCTCCTCCCCGACTTACGACCTACTCCATTTACGACCACCCGGACATACGACCGCCTCAGTCGTACCAAAATTTTGTCAAATTATGTATTTTTGAGTCCCAAAGCCGGTGATTGCGCTGTGTACTGACAAAATTTTGGTTGTAATTCACTTTAAAATGGCTGGCATGCTTAAAAGTGAGAGTTTTGTGGTGCTGAGAAGAAAAAGAGACACCCATTTTAGATTTTCTATGTATTATTTAAGCATTTTCGACTTACGACCATTTCGATTTACGACCTGGATTTGGGTCCCTAACCCCGTCGTAAGTCGGGGAGGAGCTGTAGTCTCCCCCATCCCTTGCCAACTACTGCAAAAAGACTATAACTGCATATTATGTACATAATGAAAAAATATAAACCTTGATAGAGGTACAGTAAGGTCCTGCTTAACGAGCGATATGGGTTCATAAAAAGGTGCTCATTTTCCCATAGGATTCCATGTTATGAGTGGAGATATATTCTAGCCTAAAAATCTTAAAACCCAAAATCCCAGGTTGTAAACTTAGATTCTCTCTAGCTTAAAGAATTTAGACCTTAAAACCAAACAGAGCAATGGTTAAACATTGTTTTGTACAATTTACAGCAATACTTACCTGAACTGAAAATAAATGTTGTAGGCCTAGCATTGTTAGTTGCAGGTGTAGATGGTTAGTGGATGGAGGGAACAAGCATCTTCCTATGTCCATCCTTATGAGGAATCAGCCAGTTGCTGTTTGTGCACATTGTTGATGGCACTAACCCTAGAGTTCTACAGATATCACTCACCTTTTCACCAGAGTCCAGTCACTGTAGTACACCCAGTTTTGTCTCTACGGTGATGGTCTTCCTCTTCATCCCTGGAGCGGCACAGCTAATAGTGCTGCTGTCATTTTTGGTTTCATCGTTGTTGGGTTTGATCATAAATGTAACGAGAAGTGAGCTAAAATAAGCGATGCACGTTTCACAAGGCAGAAAACATGATGGTAAATAGACACAGCCAAGTTTTCTAGGGTCACTGTGTTAGGCTATCACTAATTTCACCTCAGAGTATAGAAGACAAGTCTGCTAGTGCATTTGCCAGGCTCACCTCTCAACAATTGATAATGCATGAGTAGCCTGACTCCATGAATGATAATGTGAGCTGGATTACTCTAAATTTTGCTTGTTAAATTGGATACAAGTAGTATGTTAAATGCTCATTAAACTGAATTCTTCTACTGTGGGACATTAGTGTACTACTGTATAATATTGTAAGATTATACAGGCCAGGTGGATTGCAAGATTAAGTTCCTGTAACGACTGTGATGTACCTGGTTAAGATTGACTTTCTTAAGAATGACATATTGTACTGTACTAAAATGAGACTAGTACTTATGTGTGTATGGTTGAGAATTGATTGTTCTGTAATACACTCTATTGATTATTGATATGTTCTGGTAAATTTTTGCGGCTACCATCAGTGTGAACTAACCCAAATTGTGCACTGTATCGTGGTTTCCAAATTTCTGAGACTCTTCTATACTATTCTTTCTTTTTATATCTAAATTGTATTTTGATATTCATGTTATTTCAACGAGTCATTGTATGTTTTCCTGGAAAGTTGTTTCAGTATATGAGCTGTTGATGTAAGTTAGGTGTGGACAAGTAATGTTTGCTGATGAGAAGAGTGGCTAACTTTACACACAGTGATTATTGTACTATATTTTTATTTCCAAGTAATAAAAGTTTCACGTAATATAGTGTGTGTGATGCTGTACATATTTATGGTATATAACTAAGAAGTGTTAGCATATCAATATTTGGGTGTTTCATTATTGTCAATTTTCTGTAGAATGTTGGAGCGAGTGAAGGAGGACAGGTAAGGTTAAGTCTATACTATCATGTGTCATTTTGCATGACAAACAGATCAGGAAATTTATATTCATACACATGGGAATGTGTTCACCCTGTTGTGTTAAGTGAACAGCTTTGTATTTTTTCATTCCACTTCAACCACTGTGCACCTCACCAATTCCTTATATCATTTCAGTAAGGAGTTTACTGCTTAAAATAGCCTGCTAGTTGTAGGAATGGTAGTACTGTACTGTAGATGTGTCTTCACTAGTTACTATTTTAGGTGTGGAAGATGCCCTAGAGATAAAGCATTTATATGCATGATATTGAAGGTGAAATCTATTTGTAGTGTTGGATTGTATTTTATCCAGGCTGAGCAGATTATGTGGAGCATTTACTTGTCCCTGGCAAGTGACTTAAAAAATTTACTTGCCCAGATATTTTTTTTACTTGTCCTGACAAATTTTAGAGGAAATTTGCTTGCCCAGTTTTTTATGGGAAAACTTGAATAAACATATTAAAACACATTCAGATATACTGTGTGTATCAACTCCTAGATCACTTGTGTCTGTCTAAATGCCTCTTACCCTCACCCTTCTCCATCTAGTGGCATTTAAAGAACCTGGTTAAATTTCCTTGCTTCTTATTCACAATTTTTTTTTTCACTTCAATTTGTAGCACAATTCTGCTCACACAGCAATCAGTGGAAGCATTTATACAGATTTTCAGGTAAGGTAATTTTGAGAATAGACTAATAGAAATAGTGGGATCAGCTGTTAAGTCGCGTTACGGCATCAGATCAAACACACTTACACAGCCCCATCCCATCACCTTGCTGGTTGATGGACCTCTCTTGTTAAACATGTACTGAGTGGTGGGGTCTCACAGCACCTGACAGATTCCTGTCTAGGTATTTTCTTCTCAAGATATTAACTTGTCTGCTGGGCACAAGGACATGAAAAAATCATTTGTCCAGGCATGACTGGGCTGCTGGGCACTGCTAATCTGCACAGCCTGATTTTTTCCTCTTAATACTTCTTTGTGTCAGTATTTTTATTCTTTTATTATAGAATTATTTTGACGTTTGAGTATTATCTCATTTATTCGGCTGCTTAGAAAATAGCCGGTTCATTAGAATAGGTAAAATGTTGACAAACTGTAGGTGATGATATTTGCAGTACGTTGTTGCAGATTTATTTGTTGTTATGGGGTAGCAGAAAAGAAAGACTTTATTGTGACTCTGTACCACTACACTGACATTTTTTGTAAACTGTATATTCCTTCCAGCGTAAATATATATACAGGGCATATATATATATGCATGGTGGATTGTTTAAGCATCCTACATAAATGTTGTTTCTGGGTCCTTTGTACACCCCACACAGTCTCTGTTATTGTTTCAAGTTTTACAATTTAAATTGTTTACTTTTGAAAATGTAAACTTTTGGTGGGGCAGAGTAATGGACATGAAAAATTGGAAAGAATGTTTTGTTTATTATTTTTAATATTTTTTTGTTACAGTAGACTCCTCTCTCTGCATGTTAACTCCCTGCAAGTGTCAAACGTCTATGGATTTTAGCTATACGTACCAGTTCTATCTACAGTATTTGTACGCAATGACTAAAACTGCCTGACATTCACACATTAAACTCTTAACAAACAGAGTGAAGTTGATCATGACAACAAGCACACTACGGTCAGTTGTCATGCATGGAATGAGAGCCCTTTTTGTTGAATGCTAATCAATAGCCTCACTGAATGGGGGGTAAAGCAAATTAGTGTATCAGATATGAGTGATGATTTATTTAGCACAGTAATAGTGAAAATGAGCCAGTAAAGAGTATGGTTACTTAGACTAAGGATGATATACTACCCTGTTAGGGACCTTTCTTGTGATAAATGTTTTAGGGTTTTGGACATTTAATCAACTCCTATAGACAGTGCATCATGAGGGTCCATTAAAGATTAAGGATATTATAGTAGGTAGTTAACTTTTAAGAAATATGTTAATTTTAACATGTTTTAGTGTGGATTTTTATAGTTAATTAATTGTTGAGTTGAAATAAATTTTACAAAGAGAATGATTGTTTCAAGTTTTCTTTACAATATGTTCACAGTTACTTTCTTTTGAATGATTGCAAAATTTCAGTTATCCTAAGGTTGTAGCCATCCTTGTGTTATGTACAATTTTATCAGTTATTGGGAGCCTAAACTATCTTCTTGGAAGCTTACACCTGATAAACTCCAAGAAAATGGAGTGAAGTTGATCATGACCAGGTATATGAACTCTCACTAATCAGGCACATTAGTGTCAGTCAACAGCAAGATGAAATTTGGCACAGCAAGGTGTGTCTGAAGCCATGGATTCCTTCCAAGGGTTAAGAATCCTGGACCTTCAGACTCAGCATTGGTACAACAAATACAGTACACATTAAGAAAGGAGAGACTGATGCATCAATTCCATTTTATGGAATAGGGTGAGCAAATGGTTCTGTGTTATGCAAACCAATTTGATTATGTTGTCCTCCACATTACGTGAAAGAAAGCGACTGGACAATTAACTGTAATTATTTTTCCCAAACACCTTTTTACCTCACATCTCTACAAGGAAAGAGCTTCCAGTTAATTTTAATATTGCTATTCAAGGCAGAAAAATTATAGGACCTTGATGGTTTCCTTTTAAGGAAAAGAGATTCTCTCTGGCGTGACCATAGAACTGGAAAGGGTTATTTATAAGTACATAATTCCACTCCTTTGTTTACATCAGTCTCCATACTCTTATCACCATTGACACTGCTGACAAAGAGGTCAAAGGCAAGTGCTTCTTTCAAAGGCCTTGTGAAAATTTTTTAAATGAAGTTGAAGTATTTGTAGCTCATTTGTTACCTGGAAAGTTTTAAGAGAACATCCCTCTTCAATGAAAAGTAGTAGTCCTGGAATGCAAACTGAGAATAGCTTCCAAGTAGATGGACAAAGATCTATGTTGTACACTGGTGTAAACTTAGAGCAGGGGAGCAGAGGGAACCAAAGACAGTCTGGCCAATAAAGAGGTAGGAGAGTTGATATACCCTTGAACAATTAAGTCTGATTCTACATGCTTTCAACTTTCGATCACACAGTTATACCTAGTGAACTTTCTTGAGGAATTGTGAAATGAAGTAATGAAGCTTGTGTAATCCTTCTATACAGAGAGATCTGTTTGTGGGGCAATACCCAAAGAGATTATCTACCAGAAGTTTTTTTTTGTGTAATATCCATTCTGAAAGAGTGCACTTTATTCCTGACCAAGACATAGTAGAAAATTTAGAGACAGGTGTGACTTATTTAGTATGTATAGAGTGAATGGTATGAGATTAGAGTTGATTATGTTAACAGTTATACAAGATTGTATAATAAAGATGAAAAATGAGTAGTATGAGAAAATGAATGATTGAATGCAGGATATTTTTTTTTTTAAATCCACTCAGGCATCAACTAAAGACACTGTTACTGTCGGTTTTTACAAAGATAAGTTTGCAAATAATCATGATTACCTCAGCAAGAATATACCTGGGGGAAGTAAGAGCAGCTGGCAAAGGTATAAATGTTATGATTGATTGATTGTGGTAATTACATCCCTGGTGACGAAACAGCTTAGGTCATATGTTGCTGAATAAATTTCATGAAAACCTATTATGGGACAAATGTGTAAAAAAAAAAAAAAGAAGCATACCCTAGGCATTGGGTCTAAGAATGTGCAGCACACCATTAAGTTGTTTGTATGTGTGAAATTAGCCAAGAAACAGACAGTGGAGGAGGACTCTTATAATCACTGCTACTTATATATGCAAGTGAGGTTGGCTGATTGACCATAGTATCTAGGGGTTGGTTTGATGTTTGCTGTTTTCATAATTAATTATATATTGTACAGAATATAATTTGTTTTATTCTTTTGATCCCTAAGGCTGGAGGTGGAGATGGGAGTGCAACACAGCATCAGGGCCTCACAGGAGGAAACTTTGGAGGCACTAAAAAGCAGCGCAGTAGACGAGGAGGGAAACACAGGTTAGTTGACTGAAGATGTTAAAACTCCAGTAAATTCAGTAAAGCCATGATGTGATATTATAATGTTCAGACCATTATTTTGATATTCAGGATGTTCCCAATTATTAACAGTCCATCAAATTCAGTATTATGACTTAATTATGAAATATTACAGGTACAGTCACGGAAAGAAGAGTCCTGTCAGTTCTCCGTCACATCCATGAACCCATGAGATTTGTGAACCTGTGCATCTGAGACATCATCCAGTGCACCATCTATGGGCCCAGCAATGTATGTTGTCTCAGATTCACACATTAATGAATCTCAGGGTTCGTGGATGGGATGGAGGACTGACGGGACCTTTTTCCGTGATTGTACAGTAAGCTATCAAGATCTACTCCCTCCAGGTTCACACACACTTCCATTTACTATATCAAACATGATTCTGAGATTTAGTGACAAAAAAAATAATATAATATTTATAGGTGACTTCATTACTTTGGGAAAATTTGCTAAACCACAGAGGATATAAAGAAAAAAAATATGCTTTAGCCATATTACTTCTTTTATTGTAGTTTAATACAAAATAGAGTTGCTGCTGTAAAGGGCAATTAAATTAATCAGTAGTTCTACATCAGACAAGGAACAGACACAGTAGGGTGGGTGTCACAAACCCTCACTGGCTTAGGAAACAGAGGGCACTTGTCAGGTACAGGTACCACCATCATGACATTCTCATCTACCCAGACTAACCCTCTTGTTATGTTAATATGTTATAAGTACTATACTGTACATGTTATAAAATAGAACTACTGTACTGGTATATGAAATACACTAATAAAAGATATATAAAGCTATAAACAGCTTCTTATCGGAGTCAAAGGTTGGCTTTGCATTTGTCTTTTTCAATTCCAGTGTTGCCTTACCAGATTGGAGAGTATCACTAGATTTATGAATTACTAGGAAATTATTAAATTCCTAACTAATACATCAGTGAAATCACTAAATTAATGAATTAACTGAAATTTCAGAATTTTTTTGTATTTGTATAAATTTTCAGCAGAGGAAGGATGTCTCCAGACATGGTGGTCACTATTTGATGTAGTGTTATGCTTTTCTGGAATAATTTTCATAGTTTTGCAGAATATTTTGTGATGAATTAAAAATAATATTCTTAAAGAAGTTTTTTGGACATAAACAACATTAAACAGAGCAGAAACACTAAATGGCTGTTCAAAATGTCATCCATATTGGTTCTTCCTAACTGGTTTAGAATTTAGTGTTCTCAAATTTTTTCCACAAGGGGTTGGTTATTTTATGATATATGTGATACAATCTCTTTTACTGTACCTGAAATTATATACTGTAGCATAGAATACAGTATTTACTCTAACAGAATGGCCAGTGGGAGGAGGCTTTGAAGTAAGTTAAAACTTGCCAGAATTCATTGGCTCACATAATGTTTGGTGGATTCTCACAACATGAATTCTGCAGAATCAGTTAATCCTTTGTGAAAGATTCTACTTGCTCTTTTGTTAGAGTAGAGTACATATTCTGGGTTATGGCATTTCAAATACAAGAGGTTGTACTAATTGAATTATTGATGTTAGCAGTACAGTTCAGTTTCTCTTACTAAGGGAAGAAAGGGAATATTTTGCAGTAGAATTTATGTTTCCCAAACATTAATTTTAATTCTTTGATTCATGAGTTTATATTTGCTGCATTCTTAAAATATTAAGGTAGATCAATGTCAATCCAGCATTTGTCAAAAACTAAAGGCAGAAACAATAAATAATTTTTTATACATTACTAAAATATTCGTCTTTTTTTTATAATACAGTATGAGTGTATTACTCTCTTGTATGTTTTATCTATCACCATCTTTTTCATTTACTGAAATATGGAAAATAGTACAGTTATAGAAAGGGGATATCAGCACCTGTTTGTTTAGTTTTAATTTTCTTCCATGTTACAGTAAATGGTACAGGTATAGTTTTGTAACTGTTGTGTACTCATATCGGTTTTTGTATGTTCTCATAAATTTGGGTTTTATTTGTGTGTGCATATCTCATGTCTGATATGTTATTGTCAGCTTGGGTATAAAAACGCCAACTTCCCTTCTGACTAGGTCACGTGGTGGTAATAATGCTATAGCTGGTAATCCGGGAGCCCAGAGTCCCACAAAACAGGGAGCAAACAGTACTCCTGCACCGGTTACTGTCTCAAGTCCAACCCCTACAACTGCTGCAGCTCCAGGATTTGTCCATACTGCTGCCTCCACAACAAATTCACCCACCGTCCACCCTCGACCAGAAAACCTCACATCACCGCCGCTAGCAACGACACAAGTTTCAGTGTGAACAGTTGTATATCTCTTTAGTTGTTTAATGTGGATTTTAAGTGATGTTTTCCAGAGCTCAGCTCTGCATAAGATCTCATTGACATAGGAGTCTGACACTAAATATTAATGCAGTAATATTCTTACTTTTTAGTCACATTGTCATGCCATATGAAATTAAATAATTTGAGTACAGTACAGTACAGTACTGTAGTTGTTTTTCGATAGTGGGATTAAGAAGTTTTCAATCTGAATGCTTATGTGTCATGATATCGTGTAATAATAACCACTTCATAAGGACATTGTGTATAGATAACTTTTGTTTTATTTATAATTTAAATTGCAGTAGCTTTAAAGGGTCTACTTTGCAGGGATCTGTTTTATTGGCTTTCTGAAACAAATGCTTCTCAGAATGTATTAGTAGTGACACTAAATTGTAATGAAATCTTAAGTGGTTGGTTGTTAAATGATAAGGTTCTTCGGTCAATAATAAATACAGTAGTTGCATATAGCTTCAATACTGAAGATTGTTTTTAAGATACAATATACAGACCTGGGGGTCTCAGGTCACAGTTGGCATTTTTGTTTTGTTTTTGGTTTGATTTAAAACCTTTGCCCGAATCACCAGAACCTGTTTGGTGAATAACTTCAAACTGCACCCTACACATTAACATATGTATTGCTCCTGCTAACACCTTTAAAATCACTCAGTGAAATGTTTGCAGCAAGTTTGTTGACTGATTGTGTTCTGTCAGGTGAATGATCACTGTATGACTAGGCAGATTTTTTTTATGTGGAGGGTAGTGGGTAAAGCCCAGACATTGGCAGTGGAGAGCATTTTGAAAATGATGAGGTGTTTTGACGTCCCATATTTTATACATTTTCTGGTTGGAACTTAGGATGTACAGTACCAAAATGAAAAAAAATGCAAATTTTTAATATACTGTATTTAGGAAATATGGTTAAGATCCATAAAATTTAATTGCTGACAATAAACTGATCTCCCTTTTGATTGGAGAAAAGTTCCTTGTAATTTTATTTTTCTTATACTGCACAGCTTAATGTAACCATGGGTAACCTGGAATTACACATGATCAGGCTAGTCAGATTTATTTTCTTAATAGAATATTTTAATTAGGGAATATGGATTTTACTTTATTAATCCCCATTGAAAGGTATTTTTGAAACGGTAAAAGCTAATCATGTGTACAACTAATTTAACATATTTTGTTTGATATTACTATGCCCAAACTAACTGTCTTCAAGTTTAGGCTGGGTAGATGCCCCTTCACTCTGGATTACTCGTGTCATTTATTGTTACCTGAAGCTTTTACACCATGAAAGAATTGACTGAAAATGTTACCTTCAAGTACCTGTTGATGTTGTGGTTATTTTCACAGGGATTAGAGTGGACTCGTGTGAATATGATTTGACTGCATTGATTTGTATAAAATTATTGACATTGCTTGCAAGATGAATTTGTAGACGAAGTCTTTAAACTGATAACTGGAGTACACATATTAGTCAAACAATATGGTGATTAAGTCTCCTTGGTATTATATGGCTCTTGGTTAGCCATATACATATATGTATTGATAAACTAAGCCTTTCTGTGGAGAATTAGTATTCATAATATACATGTACCTCACTTGCTTAGTGTGGGTTATAATAGTAGACCTCATTTTTATATGGCATTTCTAGCCTGACTTCTTGCTACATCACAAAGTGTGCTGGAGGGTGGATTGGAAGGAAAGGTTATCTGCTAGAGAGAGGAGATCCATAAAATCTATGGATAGAGAGAGGGAGTAATAGGTGTTCAGTGTAAGAGAGAGAGAGAGAGAGAGAGAGAGAAAAAAGTTATTAGATGTCTGGTGTAAGAGAGAGAGAGAGAGAGAGAGAGAGAAGTTATTAGATGTGTGGTGTAAGAGAGAAAGAGAGAGAGAGAAGTTATTAGATGTCTGGTGTAAGAGAGAGAGAGAGAGAGAAGTTAAGATGATCTGGTGTAAGAGATTAGATGTCTGGTGTAAGAGAGAGAGAGTTATTAGATGTCTGGTGTAAGAGAGTTATTAGATGTCTGGTGTAAGAGAGAGTTATTAGATGTCTGGTGTAAGAGAGAGAGAAGTTATTAGATGTCTGGTGTAAGAGAGAGAGTTATTAGATGTCTGGTGTAAGAGAGAGAGAGAAGTTATTAGATGTCTGGTGTAAGAGAGAGAGAAGTTATTAGATGTCTGGTGTAAGAGAGAGAGAGAAGTTATTAGATGTCTGGTGTAAGAGAGAGAGAGAAGTTATTTGATGTCTGGTGTAAGAGAGAGAGAGAGAGAAGTTATTAGATGTCTGGTGTAAGAGAGAGAGGGAGATGAATAGTTGTCTAGTGTACCAGAAAGAGGAAGAGAGGTTAATAGGTGTCCAGTGTAATGTAACAAAGAAGATGGTAAAGTAATATTGGTGAACTTTTAGCTCGAGTTATCCCATTAGAATGTATAAAACCATAGACAAAAGAGTATCCTTCCTCTACACCAAATATTTTCTCAATTACTGACCAAATTATTAGTAAAGATGATTAAGATTATTTTATTTTATTTTTATATGCCGGTTCCATCCTAGTTTCAACAAAAGACAGTCTGCAGGTGGACTCAGAGAGCTTAGTTTTTGTACTTTTTTCAGTGTTTTCCGTTTATTTTACTCTATCATTTATTTAGCAGTTTTATGTGATGATGGTTCACTGTGATTGTGTTCTTCACTGTTAACACTGCTGCTATGTATTGTTGAAGTTTTATATGAGTTTTATGTACAGGTAGTTTTATTTTGTGCTTTAATTTGTCTCTTGAAAAAGTGTCCCTAATTAGTTTACTGTACAGTATATGTTCTCATTATATTATGGTTACTACAGTATGTGTTTGATTTTGTTTATTGATTTATATATTAAAACTGAAGACATTTTTTTTTATACAATACTATCTGGGTGTTGGAGACTATTGTTTCAGAAATGTCTGAACAAGGGATATTTTTTTCCTCATTAATAGAACTTCATTAATTTTTTTTCCGTTTCATTTCAAATATAGTCTACCATTATAACCTAACCAAACTATGCCAATATTAGATTAGGTTAGTAGTGATGGTACTCTTTTTATATTTTGTTCTGTACTATAATTGGCTCCATATGCAGACTAGGTTGAGCATTTGAGAAAAAAAGAGAGAAATAATTGCTATTTTGCAATTATCTTTGCTTTGTATTCCCCACACTTCTTTGTGTAATTATGACATTGTCTCTAGGATGTCTGTCTCCTTATTCTTAGGAGAGCTGGTAGTACCACTGCCTCCCACTTGCTGCCTGACTTGTTGCCAGGAGCCGAGTGGTGGAGGGCATCAAGTTAGAAATAGATCATTAACCCTGACAATTTGTTTTTGTGATAAGCCTGTAGCCAGGTAGGTCAGACACCCTCCCTTCCTCCATTGGGTTTGTGGGTAGTCAGCGAGAAATTGAATCCAAAGTGAAAAATTAACTCTTGTTATCAAGTTGGTAGCTGTAGGTGGTACCCATGGGTACCTTCTACCTCCAGAGGTAAAATTTTGCTTCCAAACCATCCATTTCACATGAGATACTGTAGTTACAATGGGGAGGGATATGTGATTAGAGGATCCCTCCCAGCTGGCAGTTAGGAGAAGTTTATTATACCATCCTGAACCCCCAAAACAGCTAGTACACTAACAGAAGCAGTTTGCCAATGGCCTTGGCTAGAAAGGTTTCAGAATCAATCCTCCATATATTCCTGGAGGATGACCACATCTTATTGATTGTCTCTCACTTTGTGTTTTGTGGTACTTTTGTATTAATTTTGATAACTGATTTATCTTGAAGGTAAACAAAGAAATTTACTTTTAATGTATTAAAAGCTATTGAAGGTATCTAGACATTTGATGAATTAATTTTTTTAGGTTATCAAATTGTATTAAAAGAAAGTGATGTTTTATCAGGTATGCTTTACAAAATATTTTTCTATAGTCTAGAAAATTGTGGTATTACGAGCTGCGGTATTGAAAGAAAATATCTTCCTTATGTTTAACTTTGATGATTATATAATTTTATATATTTTGCTTTATAATGGATTAAACAAAAGAAAAACATCCTACCTACAGCATTTTTTCATATAACAGACTTGATTATCATAAACTGAATGTAGAAATTGGACTTATATTAGTTATTTAGAATAACATGAACTATACAGTACTGTATATGCAAAATAAGATCTTACATTTTTTTTTATTCTCTCACCTGTGAGACAAAAGCATTAGATCAATTATGAAGGATGATACAAACCAGCAGTCATCATCTGTGGAAGTTAGCTGTAAGGATGGTGGTCTTCATCTGTGGACATTAGCTATAGGGATGGCGGTCACCGACTGTGGAGGTTTCATGTTCATTGCCTTTCATTTTTGCCCATTTTAGTTGGGGAGAGGAAGAGGAGGAATCGTGAACCACCAATTAAGGGTTAATATAAATGGTTTTGTTTAATGCATTATAAAGTTTTAATACTGGTAATTTTTGTGTAAATTGCTAGATACTCATTTGCCTTTTTATCAAGAGGCTCAGTGGATAGCCTTTGATAAAGATGCACTATCCCACATGGCAGAGCTGCTGTAATTATTAGCCTTCATTGCATAGTGACAGTAATACAGACATAGCTATTTTTCCAACCATATCTTGATCTATTAATTATGAGAGAAAAGAGGTTTGTATTATATTACTTTTGTCATAATTTTTAAAGTGACTAGTACAGTACATATATGGTTAGAAATGTAGTTGTCTCTGTTGAACTGTACTTCCACTATGTTCAGATGTACAATAAGAAGGCTCTTTTATGTGGGATGGTTGAGTATATCACAGCCAACCCATGCAAGTGCGGAAAATGACGGTAAAACGTTGATGGTGATGATGACAGGTCACTCACTCGTCTCTGAGCGTAAAAGAGGATTTCAATGATCAATCCTTCATCTAGTATTAAAGTGTATACTTTTTCTGTCACTCTGTAGCAATTATTTCACATTGTATGAGTTGTATAATGTAGTACAACAGAAAAAGAAGTAAAATTAGTACAACTCCAGTAGGTTTAAGATTTAGTCCGACACAAAACAGAAATAAATTTTTTACAACCATAAACAGAAAAAATTAGTTAGTACAAAGTGAACACAGCTAAAATTTAGTACAAAGCAAATACTGTATGACTAAAATTTAGTATTATCAGCAACAATAAATCGAGTACAATCAAAGAGAGATTTAATTTGTAACTTAAAAACCAAACTAAGCTTTTATGCCATTTAAAAGCTAAATCAAGCTTTAGTACAGTACAACCAAACACTAAAATCTAGTACAACTCGAAATTGATTTAAGGTCCATATATCTGAGAAATAAATGTGTTTGACTATACTGTACTGCACGTATAACCAAAATTATTTTGTTTTGTGAGGATGTGTATTGTAAGTTTCTGATTGTTGTATTACAGTGTATCACATTCTTATAATTATAGTAGTACTTGAGAAGATTAAACAACCAATTGAAGATCTGATAGGTACTCAAAGATACTACAGGCGAAGAAAAACTGCCTAAATATGAGTGTTTATAAACTGGCATACGTGAGTGTCATTGGAAAGTTGATCATACACAGAACCTCTCAGTTCTTGTTCCGTGAAGGCACAAGATTGAGTTGTAACGCAACGATTTTGTTGATATTATACTGGTAACTTTCTACTTGTATGTCAGGCTCAGATGTTATTCATTTGGGTTCAGATTATCAGTTACATGAACCTTTATTAGTAAAAGGATATGTTTTTCAGCAGAAATCTTTGCCTTGCTTTTGTGTCAGTGTATGAAGCTTTTCCCCGTGTGTTAATACCCTTCTATTAATAGTCTTAGACATTGCAACTTATGGTTGTCAAATGTGATAAAATACATTAGATATTTTAAGCACTTTGTGATTGTTTTATTTTCCAAGTGAAGTGTAATATTTAACAGTATTTAGACTTAAGTATTTAACTGTCTGTTGCAAAAGACATAAATTTCTGAACGAAATGTCATTCGCCAGAGTTGTACTGGTAATCTGCATATCAATATCCAATCAATTGTTCCCTTAATATAAAATGTCACATGGAAAATATAAAATAAATATTTCTGTCATCACTTGTGTCTTATCTTCCTCTACTGTACTTAGTGTACTATTTCCATATAAGTGTGTATGATGTGTAAACTCTGACAGTCATTTCCTTAGTCATTCGGGAGTTACATGAACACGTTTGCATGCTCCTCACATGCGAATGGGTTTCTTAAACGCGTTTCCGAATCCTCTCACAGACAGTCATGCACAGCAATACTGGGTACAACTGGTGTGAGAGGCCTTGGAAATGCATTTAAACCCATTCATGTGTGGGAAGTACCTAAGCAAACAACGTGTTCACCTAGCTCCTGAACAATTAAGAAAATTGCTGTGTAAGTCTTTTGCTTTGTGTAGGCTGTATGATATTGCAAGAAGAACTATGGCATGTTCAACCTGTTAAATGTGTAAAAATAGTTTGTGTGGGAAAGACAAGTTTGGAGAATTACAACCATATGAAATTTAATCGTTTTCCCAGATAAAAAAAAAGGTAAGTTAATGTCAGTGTTTTGTGGAAATTAAGTTATATAACCACATTCAGTGCTGGGTTATTATTCATTTTAGCACATCACCTTGAAATGCAGGTTTAAATCCCAGAAAACAATGAAATATGCCAGTGTAAACAGCTTTCCTGCCAAAGTCCAGGTCTTGTTCTAAAACTAATTATTACCCAGTGCTGTACATAGATAAGCACA